AGGCAATCTGGCAGCAGACCACCTTGCGTTGGTTTTGACAGTCGACCTTTCAGTAAGCAATGGCAAACAACTGAACGTAACATTTTCCTAGAAAAAAATGATGAGGTGTGTTCTAGAATGACCTGTGTCCTGGAAAGGACATGCAACTAACTTGTATGAGGGGCAGTGGGTCAACGTGAGGACACTGCAGGATTTATTTACGACTTCTTGGCAATAAATCATTTTCAACGAAAAAAAGACACTGAAATGGGAGATCTTTTTCTTCGCTTTTACCAGCTGTAAACTCCGGTGGAAAGGTCTGGTAGTTTGCCAACTTCTGAATTGTAATCTTTTTCCAGAGTTTTAGTTCTGCATTCATATTTGTTTTACAGATCTGACTTATATGTAGGCCGACTGTTGGTTCTCTGCCTCTCAGACAGATGCATTCTGAAGGAAGCCCCTAAACAGTTTGACTCCTACAACATGCTTGTTAGGGAGGCAGTGGGTCTATTCTTGTTTTTCCCACAATGGGGCCCCAGCGGAACCCATGGGGACATGAGAGAAGATCACCCAGTTTGACTAAATCTTCTCCTTCTTCCTCCTCTTCTCGTTTACCGGCTGTAAATTCCGGGAAGTCCTGGTTAATCATTCTCTTATGAACTTTGACCTTGTCCAGAACTTGAATTTAAGGATCTGGCTTAGTCTGTACAGACTACTGGTTCCTGGTGTCTAAGGCTTATGCACTCCGACTTCAAAGAAAATAGCCTAATTAGTCACTATTTACAACACTTTTTAGGGGGGCAGTGGGTCTATCATTTTTCCCATCAAAATAGGGCCTCGAAACCTACACAGGGAGCTTTAGCAAACAACAACCCAATAAGTATTAAAGGTCTTGCGTTTCTCTAGTGTCTCAGTGTCTGTGATGATACTGCCTGTACAAGCAATGTAATCTGACACTGAAAATCACCTTTTCTGTTTCTGACACTGAAAATCACCTTTTCTGTTTCTGACACTACAAAACTACTCACTTAATGTCAGATAAACAGAACAAAATCTCCTTGAAAACATTACATGTACAACATTTATTTGTACAGATGTTGCCATCAGTTACCCTATGATTCACCCCAATATAATATTCCAAACAAATGCAAAATATCTGAACTTAGACAAACTTTGGAGCCGAACCTAACTATATCTGTTTCAAATTACCCATCATATACACAAAGAGACATGGTTTAAAAAGAAGAAGAAAACACACACATCATACAAAGATTGTTTTTAAAACAATTATATGGCATTCTGAAAATTAAATATTAATGACTGTTATTATCAGATGTCATGGGGTATCTGTTTATGAAAAACATTTCAAGACAATGCTAAACTCCTAGCAGTTCCTGCCATACAGATACACAGTTATAACACTGACATTACTCAAGACAACCACGTTATGAGGTGGGATGAGCATGGACCTCCCATGTCAGTTATTCTTTCCCCCCGTGTGGGTTCCGGGGCCCCATTGTGGGGAAAACAAGAATAGACCCACTGCCTCCCCAAAAGCATGTCATAAGAGTCGACTAACTGGGGATCTTCCTTTGAAGTCGGAGTGCATCTGCCGGAGAGGCAAGGAACCAACAGTCTGTATTCAAGAGAATGAGATCTGTAAAACTGATGCACAAGCAACACTCAGGTTCTGGAGCAGGACTGCAGTTCAGTAATGGACGAGCAACCAGAACTTTCCGCCAGAGTGTACAGCTGGTGAACACGAAGAAGAAGAAGAAAGAATTATTCTTTCCAGAGAAAACATGTAGTGCCTGTTTATTTTACAAGTGTAGGTTAATTTCTGAGTAGTACGTGATCTTCTGCTTCTCCGGCAATCATTATGTACATTGCATCTGTTCCAGTATGGGCCCCAATTAGGATGTGCTTGGGGTCTTTCCCGGTGTCCCGTTTTGTGTTCCAGGGTCACTGCTTTTGGCCAAATTTCTTCTCTCTGTCAGTCTAGAGCTGAGCTGATTCAAGAATTGAAATCCTAGCACTTAAGGCATTCCCGTAAGTGCTCTGTCCCTCATCTTCAGCAGCCATCGCAGAGTTCCAACACCAGTGGTAGCAGTAGCAGTCTGATTATATGTGCTTTTCGTCTGAGCGTCGAGTTTCAACCAAATCTCCTCATCACTCCATCTCTCTCACCAGACTGTGATGATCCATAAACACATCTTCCTTATCATGCATCAGTAATCAAATCCACCAAGTCGTGCAGAGCACTATAGGTCTAGGCAATCTTGTTACCGAGGCAATCCTGTAAGACCGGTTTTGTTTGCTTCGGTGGGACACAATCATTTGTAACGAGTCTGTAAGACCCATTTTATGTAGATATGCTCTGTGTTTACAGTGTCTCATTCTAATCTGCATATTTCTGCCAGGCTTATTTATAGTGTCATATCCTGGTTCATAACTGTTTTTGTCACCTCCCAGGTTCATCTTCAAAGATTGCTTCAAAGTATGTGATCGAAATCCTATCCCTCAACTGGGGACTAACCTAGGTTAGGTGTGTTAGCAGGGGTTGAAGGGCCTATAACCATGGTATAGAAACATAATTAACAGAAACAGATCAATCAACCCAGGTGTGGGTTGTAGGAGTTACTAAAATAATAATTAAAAAGCAGCAATATATGGTAGCTAACAATCAGTACTTCACATGACAAGAGATCAAATTGACCATACTAACCTTCTCTTTAAATATACTATAAAAATCTTATTGTGGATAGGCTTGTCAGTGGGGTGGGGGCGGGGCTAAAAATCATCCCTATCATAAAATCATCCTTAACAAAATACCCCTGTGTTTGGTTTCAAGAGGGGCGGAGGGGGGTGGGGTCCACCTTGGAGAGCAAACAGACCCACTGCCCCCTTAACAAGCATGTCATACAAGGGCGACTAATTGGGGGTGTTTCCTCCATGTCGGAACACATCTGCCTGACAGGCAAGGACCAACTGTCTGCAAACAAAAAAGTCAGACCTGTAAAATGGATGTGCACGAAATACTCAAGACCGAAATCTAGGAGCGGACAAACAACTAGAACTTTCTGCCCGTGTAGATTCTAATTATGAAGGCTAACTGAGTGGTAATTGTTACGTCTTTCAGTCTTTTCTCTTCTTGTCTGAGATATTGCGATACTTCAGTTATGTTCAGTCTTTCCTCTTCTTCGTCACTTCCTCTTTTACCGCTGTGGGTGTCGAGGGAGATATAAGGTTCTGTTTCTAGCTCTTCTGGCTGCCTCAACCACAGGCACATCGTGCTGTTGTAGAGTTTCTCTGATGTTATCCTTCCATCTTGTTCTTGGTCTACCCCGTGCTCTACGTCCTTCTTCTCTTTCCATGTATGCTTTGTATGGTATGGTGTCACATTTCCTCTTCTACCCTGCAGAAAATGCTACCTTCCAGTATCTTCTCTTCTACACCAGAATACAGAGGTACTTTAGTCTTGTTCAGTCCTTTCATGTTAACCCTGGAGGATCAAATATTTTAGTCTGTTTTCGTTTCCTGTAGAATAAAGAGGTGCCTTACATTCTAGTCTCATCTAGCCTGGAGAAAGATGGTGCCTCGCAGTTTGTTCTCTTCTTCACCAGAGTATAAAAGTATCTCAGTTTTGATTCATCCTTTCATTTTAACACTGTACAGCTAGCATAGTCTTTTCTAGTCTATCAAGTAAGTGAAAAGGACCCTTCTCCTCACCATCGGGCGTACAGCTTGACCTACATTTTACAGACCAATCAGCACTCTGTGGATAATGTGATCAACATAACGCCAACCATCTTTATTTCCCAGGTTTCACAGAACAGAAAAGCAACTTCATGTATTGTGTCACTTACCCAGCAGAAGATCTACATTCGTTTTTTTTGTGTATGCGCCAGAATATAGAGGTACCTTACAGTCTTGCTTTTTTTCCTTTACTTTTTTTTAACCATAAAGTATCGAGATATCTTGCAATTGTTCATCTGCTACAGAATATACAGGCACTTTACACATTCTTTTTCTGTCCCATAGTATAGAGGCACATCAGTCTTGTGTCCTCCATGTCACTTTGTACTGATGCCTTAGTCTTGCCATTTCAACCTTGAGGTGTATAAGTGCTTTCCTCTTCAAAATATAGGAATGCTCATAATTGTGTTGTACCTCAGTCTTATGTTCTTCATAAAAGTAAATTCTTCTTCTACCTTAAAATAAAGAACTATAAGAATTGGTTTCTTATACTCTGCTGAAGATGAGGACAGAGTGCTTATGGGAATGCCAAGAGTGCTGTGACGGTGGTTCTTGGATCAAATCAACTCTTCCTACTCGCCTGCGGATTGGAAGTCATGAGTTCAGGTCCTGATGGAGCCAGACTTATTTTTTTTAATGACATGGACTCCCAGGTCAACCCAGCCTTGAGTGGGTATCAGGTACAGTCTTGGGAAGTAAAGGTGGCCGGTGTAATGTTGGCCACATCTCCCACCAAGTGCTGATTGCTCTTTAAATACAGATCGGAAGGCACGGAATATGGATCCTTTACTGACAATCTTCTTATACCTCACAGAAGTCTGATGTCCTTCATAAAGGTACCTTTTTCTTCTACCGTAAAATATAGAAGTAATTAATTTAGCCTCTTTTTAGCTCTCCTATTCTACCCTGAGTCAAAGAAGTATCTTTGCATTTGTTTCATCTCTTTTTCGACCTTGAAATGTTGTGGCCTCTTCTGATGCCCTTTCATTTATCCTCATATATATATATCATGCAGTTTTATGAATGAGAAACATATAAACCAGACAAAGTTCTGCTTTCCTCCATACCCCAACAAAGAAGTGGACTGACCAGGATAATGTTATCAAGATAATTCTCAGATACCCTGAACTGTCTCAATATACAACTATAGTAACTTGCAGTACACTCATGCGGTAGGTTTTCTACTGTTTAACACCTCAAGCACACCCAACTCAACAACAAACTAAAAATTAACATAAACAGTAATATATACACAGCTACATTGTCTACCACTTCTTCTTATGCTCATCCATGCTAACTCCGCCTGGTCCGTATGCTACTACAAACAACAGTCCACCAATCACCGACATTGTCTGGAAGAAATCGTATTTGAGGAAGTCTCTCATTGGCCGATAGTCAGGGATGTTCCACCATGCATTGAAGTAAACGTTCAGACCGGTGAGCCAGACGACTAAGACAAGGGCCGAGAGCTTTGTCTTGAAACCAATGGCAATGCAGATCATGAGGGCGGAACCTATCAAATTCTGGAGGATCTGAACAAGAGAAAGATTTTTTTTAAATTAATCTTAAAATGGAATGTTACACCTAAATAAATATCATCACCATCTTTAGTGTGCCGTTAGAGGTCACACAGAGCTCACATTTTAAATACCGCTCTCTGCTCTACTGCATGCAACTCTCTCGATCTCTGACATGAAGTTGAGCCCAGCATTTTTAGCTTCTTGTAATACATGATTGATTGGCACCTTTCCGTCTTTCCAGACGACAGTGTTATCTTGCACTATGAGGAGACATGGGACTCACAGCCCATGGTGAGTGTGACTTGCAAGACCCACCAGTGTTAAGAACATTCTTCCACAATTATAGCATAGGATTTCAGGACCGTTGTTGTCAACATTTGTGTTTATTCTGTTTCTTTTCAGATGCTCAGCTCTCATTCTTTCTGCAATCATCTCAATACCTGTATCATTCATGTCCGCCTAAACACAATCTTAGATTCTAGTAGAGGTTGGCCGCAACATCTCCTACTTGTCTTTAATTCACCATAGATGATGTCCTTAGTGAATCTGCCATCCTACATTCTCCAGGTGTGACCCAGCCACCTGAGCCTTGGTACACTGAGCACTGAGAAGACTGTGGTAATACCTGCTCTTTCAAATACTTCATTGTTTGTGATCTTGTCCCGCCACTTAATGCCAAGTATTCTTCACAGGCATCGCATGTGACAGCTATTTAGCTGTCTCTCCTGGTACAAATAAGCTGACAAGTTTCACTGCCATAAAGCAGAGTGCTGACAACACAAGCCTGGGAGAAGAGTTTTTTGTTTTAATTGTAAGCTTTCTGTTCTCCCAAACTCTTTTTGTTAATCTACTCATTATTGTTGCTGCCTTACCTATCCTGATGTAGATTTCTTGGTCAAGCGATAGTTTACTATTCACGGTGGAACCCAGATAGGTAAAATGGTCCACTGTCTCAAGCTCTTCCCCATCAATGTAGACAGCAGGTCTATCGTTAACACCTTGCACCATAACCTTTGTCTTCTTTTTGCTGATTGTTAGTTCAAATTCACAGCATGCATCAGCAAATCCAGACAGCAAACACTGCAGCTCCCTCTAGTAATAATTACTATAGTAATGAATAAGTACGGCAGACTGGCGAATGCAAAGAAGACCACCCAAGTGGATAGTATTTCTCACCTGGACAATAGAAACTTCAAAGCGCAAGAGCGTAATGAACATAAGCACCAACAGCAGACGGCCGCTCAGCTGCATGTACTGTTTCGGGTTGTTGTCTCCTGTTGAAGGCAGACCAGCAAATAATGACTTCCCCTCATTTCTGTCCTCAGCTAATAGCAGCAAGACTCCTCCAGCTAATGCCATGTTCCTGCAAGAAAGTTAAACAACAAATATTTACTTATATTTTCAGGACGTCACAATCCAATCGCAAGCACATCTGGTCTGGTCTACATCAATGACACTGTCAGAAGTCAGAAACAAACCAAAACAAAAAACTATTCTCGGATGGCAGGGAATAACCTCCTCCCATATACCCACAAATAAACTATAATAATAATATTTATCTCTGTAGGTGCAGAACATTCATAAATTTAAAAAAAATTGTTATTAGTAAATTTTTTTTAATATGAAATCTTTAAAACAGCAATTTAATTTAGAAAAATTATCAACCATACTCACCTAAACAAAAACTTGATATCCCATATTATGCTGTAAGCAATAGTCTGAAAGATAAACACAGAACTATTCAATTATATGTAAAGAAAAGTGAATTATCACACATAACTAAATATGACAAAAATGGCTGCAAGATTTAATCAGGATATAAAGTCTGTGGTTAAAATTTTGAGAGCATGCATCTTCCCTGTAGCAACATACGGATGTGAGTCGTAGACTATCTTGCAGTCATTAAGAAAGAATATAGGTTGGCTAATGAACAGCAGCTTGTTTTAGAAGCTGAAGTAAGTAAAAGTAAAGGACCCTTTTCCATGCATTTAGGCGTATAGGGCTAGACCTATATTTTTATAGACCAATCAGCACAAGATGGGTGATGTGGTCAGCATCACCCCGGCCGCCTTTACTTCCCGGGACTGCACTTGGTATGCACTCAAGGCTGGGTCGACCTGGGAGCCAAAGTCATTTTTTTAAAAGGCCCGGCTTCGCCAGGGAGTAAACCCACAACCTTTTGATCCACGGCGAGCATTTAGCCGCTCCGCCACAGCGACTCCCTGGAAGCTGAAGTATTTTAGCCATATCAAGCACCATGACGACAGGAAAAAAATTAATAGAAGACATGGTGCTAGGAAGGAGGACCAGGTGCCGACCAGCACAAACATGGGCACAGGATATAAGAGACTACTTGTGTATAAAAGTGCATGAGGCTGGAGATCTGAAATCTGGCTACAGACCAAGTTTTTTTTTTTTTTTCAAGCAGTCTGTGATGAAAGCGAGGTTCCAAAAAGGACCTGCTACATGATGATGGCAGTGCTGAAAGCGCTAAAATTTCTTTTTCTGTTCTGCTTCATAGTGTCAGGTTATGATGAGGCGTCAGGTGTGAGCCTTGGTGTGCTCTGTGGGGATGTTGGTATTGACTGCCTCAGATATTCCATCTGTCCATGACTTGCACAGGCGATCCCTACGTCTGCTTCCATTGTATTTAAGTCTTCTTCTTCTTGTTCACTGGCTGTAAACTCCGGCAGAAAGTTCTGGTTGTTTGTCCCCTTCTAGACTTTGGTCTTGGGGAGTTTCCTTCAAAGTCTGAGTTCATCTGCCTGAGGCGATGAACCAGCGGTCTGCATATCAAAGTTAGAGTTCATCTGCCTGAGGCGATGAACCAGCAGTCTGCATACAAATAAGCCAAATCTGTAAAAATGGACGCTCATAAGAAACTCAAGTTTTGAAACAAGACCAAAGTCCAGAATAGAGGAACAATAAGAACTTTCCATACAAGTTTACAGCTGGTAAATGTTAAGATGAAAGGGGAAGTGATAAGGAGAGAGGCTACTTGAGAACATTATGATGACTAAGGGGGAAAAAGCAAATGCAAACTGACAGCAACAATTGTGGATAGTCTAAGACAGAATTGTGGAGGAACGCATTAACAGAGGAACATATCAATAGAACTGATCCAGAATAAAAACAATCTATATATGCGGTGAAGAATGACTGTCTTAACGCAAAGCTATTCAACTGGCAGCTCACAGGCCAAATCTGGTCAACAGATGCCAACCAAGTGGCCCGTGGATCCCATCCAGTGGCCTGTGTATCGCTGCCAGGTGTATTGTATTAATGATATTTCTTAGTCTTAGTCAAAGTTTCAACTTTACTGCAATTACATCACCCCATACTTGCTCTGTTCCTGTGCCAGTGAAAATCAAATTAAATGTCCCTCACATTCCAAATTTAAAAACTCATGAACAAACAATTAGTCCCAGCATAATCCAGAAATATGCGAGAGCAGGAAATCCATGTGGCAGTTGCTAGAGGTGCCAAAGCCAACAATCGCCACTAGAAATGCAGTCTGTCGTTGATGGAAGTAGTCAGGCATGATAAGCTGGCAGTACACACAAAGATTTACTACATAAGGTATTTCACTAACCCACACATAAATCAGCCATCAGTCATACTGAATACCAAGACTCAACCGCTGCACAAATGAAAGGCATTCCATATAAAAAAAAAATACAGCTCACAGGTCTGCACCTAGCATTAAAATCACTAGCTCAGACCGCAAAACTGTAGATTACTGTCCATATGTGTCAGAAACAGAAAAAAACTTTGAAGCTTTCTATGCAGGAGCTCAGAGCTCTGGCCAGTGACGATCCCCATTTTCAACACTCTGGCCTGAGTAATCTCAGTTGACTAGCCCTGGTCTAAAACAAGCTAAATGATGTGGTGGTATATTTAAGACTGCTCTGTTATACTACACTTAGGTGGCTTCATAAATTCAGGTACCGACCTGCAGAGCAATAATGCCGAAGAGAATGCCACAGGCAATGGAGACTTTCTGCCGAATCAGAACCATGATGCAACCAGCCAGCTGTCCAAGCATGTTTACAATCACAAATACTGTGGCCAGAAACGCCCCGCAGGACCAGGACACGTTCATGTAGTCCCTTTGCTCGTTCCACTGAGTCCACATTCTGATGCCATCTTCAAGAAAAGTGCTGATCAGGCAGAAGCGAGCTACATGAGGTAGGAAATGCTTTGTGTATCGGAGGACCTGAAAAAAAGTACAATTATCAATGTAACTGGGTAAAACTGTCAGTATATTAATATGATAAAACTGTCAGTATATTAATATGATAAAACTGTCAGTATATTATTAATATTATAAAAATGTCAGTATATTAATATGATAAAACTGTCAGTATATTAATATGATAAAACTGTCAGTATATTAATATGATAAAACTGTCAGTATATTAATGTGATAAAACTGTCAGTATATTAATATGATAAAACTGTCAGTATATTAATGTGATAAAACTGTCAGTATATTAATATGATAAAACTGTCAGTATATTAATATGATAAAACTGTCAGTATATTAATGTGATAAAACTGTCAGTATATTAATATGATAAAACTGTCAGTATATTAATATGATAAAACTGTCAGTATATTAATATGATAAAACTGTCAGTATATTAATGTGATAAAACTGTCAGTATATTAATGTGATAAAACTGTCAGTATATTAACGTGATAAAACTGTCAGTATATTAATATGATAAAACTGTCAGTATATTAATGTGATAAAACTGTCAGTATATTAATATGATAAAACTGTCAGTATATTAATATGATAAAACTGTCAGTATATTAATGTGATAAAACTGTCAGTATATTAATATGATAAAACTGTCAGTATATTATTATGATGAATCAACTGAGAATACTGATTATTCTTCATTTTTCTTTCTTCTTTGCCTTAACCAGCTGTAAACTGTGGTCGACAAGTTCTGGTTGTGTTGTCCACTTCTGGACTGCAGTCGTGTTCCAGAACCTGAGTGTTGCGTGTGCCTCCGTTTGGTTCCTTGCCTCTCAGGAAGATGCACTCTGACTTCGAAGGAAGCTCCCAGTTAGTCTACTTTTACAACATGCTTTTGGGCAGTCAGTGGGTATATTCTTGCTTTCCATATAATAGGGCACCGGAAACCCACACGAGGGAGATTTTGAATGTTAAATTAAGAATCAACATCACAGGTCTACCATAAGTGCTCAGTGACCCCATCTTCAGCAGCAAGCAAAGAGTTCCAATTCCGATGGTACCAGTACCCGTCTGATTGTATTGTGCAAATATATTGTATAACTGCAAATGATCAACTGAACTGTCATTACTATTTACCCCCGTGTGGGTTCCGGGGTCCCATTGTGGGGAAAACAAGAATAGTCCCACTGCCTCCCCAAAAGCATGTCGTAAGAGTCGACTAATTGGGGAGCTTCCTTTGAAGTCGGAGTGCATCTGCCGGAGAGGTAAGGAACCAACAGTCTGTATTCAAGAGAATGTGATCTGTAAAACTGATGCACACGCAACACTCAGGTTCTGGAGCAGGACTGCAGTTCAGTAGTGGACGAGCAACCAGAACCTTCCGCCAGAGTGTACAGCTGGTGAATGCGAAGAAGAAGATTACTATTTATTGCTTCTTCAAATAATAAATCAGATGCCATCTCTACAGTGAAGGTTGGTTGCAAGGGATCTCCAGCATGTCCTATCTCTTGTCCTGGTTGTACACTCTCTCAGGTAGCTGCCCGTCCTATCTCTTGTCCTGGTTGTACACTCTCTCAGGTAGCTGCCCGTCCTATCTCTTGTCCTGGTTGTACACTCTCTCAGGTAGCTGCCCGCCCTATCGCTTGTCCTGGTTGTACACTCTCTCAGGTAGTTGCCCGTCCTTTCTCTTGTCCTGGTTGTACACTCTCTCAGGCAGCTGCCCGTCCTATCTCTTGTCCTGGTTGTACACTCTCTCAGGTAGCTACCCGTCCTATCTCTTGTCCTGGTTGTACACTCTCTCAGGCAGCTGCCCGTCTTTTCTCTTGTCCTGGTTGTACACTCTCTCAGGCAGTTGCCCGTCCTATCTCTTGTCCTGGTTGTACACTCTCTCAGGTAGCTGCCCGCCCTATCTCTTGTTCTGGTTGTACACTCTCTCAAGCAGCTGCCCGTCCTATCTCTTGTCCTGGTTGTACACTCTCTCAGGCAGCTGCCGTCCTATCTCTTGTCCTGGTTGTACACTCTCTTAGGCAGCTACCCGTCCTATCTCTTGTCCTGGTTGTACACTCTCTCAGGTAGCTACCCGTCCTATCTCATGTCCTGGTTGTACACTCTCTCAGGCAGCTGCCGTCCTATCTCTTGTCCTGGTTGTACACTCTCTCAGGCAGCTACCCATCCATCTCTTGATGTTGTTCTCCCACTTGAATCCTTGGCAAAGTATTTCAATTGCCTCTTTTTTTATTTCTTTCAGTAATTCTCTTTTCAGGTGAAGCCTTTTTCCTTTTTAGGGTGGTGCAGACAGTGGGATTGCAACCATAAGGATTTGGGGTCACACAGCTAAGGCTGTATTCACGACTGCAACTGACTAACAGATGATGATAAATATGATTTAATGTAAAACTTGTGATCATCCTCATTGCAGACCAAGCAATTCAGTCCACAAGAGCTCAGCTCATTTGCACATTCAATCCTTATAGATAATAGTGTTGCATTGTGCAACATGGAGGTACAGGATTACAGCCAATGGTGATACAAATTATTAGCAGGGATGTCATTCCTCTGATCCACAGCACAAAGCCTGGGTAGCAATGCAGAGATCATGGGTTTCCCATACAACATGATTCATCACTCAGCCTGATTTGTTAACTTTAAAGGAAAAGTAACAACACCAATGCATTTCAAAGAAAGTATGCTGCAGAAGCTCTAGATCAGAAGGGCTCAGTTTGCCCATCTGTCCTCCTTAATAAATTCTTCATAATGTGGTAACCTGACACCAGTTTGGTGGTTTACTATTCTTCCTTGGTCTCACAGTGCTGTGTTTGTGTTTGGCTTCGCAATATGTTTCTTGAAATTCTTGCAGTCTGGTCGTATACTAGAACAATACTAAATGATTAATTATATTAGACCCCTCCCCCCCCCCCCCCACTTTTTTTTTCTAATAGCAAACTGTGAGAACATGGTCACAGAGTGCTGTCACAGATATGTGTTTATTGAAATGATTGTTTTCATTTGCTAATCTACAGCAAGAAATCTTTTTAGGTAGGGTAGGCAGTTTTCTCTTTCAGTTTAAGGCTATCACTGCAAATTGAACATAAGAGACTACTGGCTTGTACATTAACCTCATGCAAGTTATCATTGACTATTCAGAGCTTCACTAGAGATTTAACTGTGTATGATGATTAGATGATATGATGTCGCCGAAATACTGAATATACGGTAATACTAATATACCCTTTGAAATGCAATGTTGTTATTCCCATGAGTGACAGTAAAGTTTAAAGAGTACGATATGTTGATGTTAACTGTTCTAAAAAGCAAGTTCTATTCAGCATTAATGTCTGTAGATAACTGTTCCAGTCTGTGTTCTTGAACTTGAAGTTCCAAAACTGGTTTCAAGGTAAATAATTAATTATAAAGAAGCAGTAACAAGGTAGTCAGTGGTTGTGGTACTTCTGTAAATCAGAAATCAATGCGTGTTTCCCTATGAAAATCTACAAATGCAATACAGCAATTCATTTATCCTACTAAACCTTCAGTTTTCTTCACTGCAGCTGCCTTTTAGTTCCAAACAACAAACTGATAAACTGAAATGTCTAAGTAACTTCGCCGGTCCATCATCATTCATACAGTGGATGGAAATGAAATGAATGTTCATATCCTCCCCTACTAACATAAAATATACACAAACATGCGACGAGTCCACCCGCCCAAACTATCAGCTCGCAAACCTTCTCACTAACCTGATCAGCTATGTCTTCTGCTTTGTCCATTAATTCATTTTGTTTAGGCATTTTGCCCCAGGACCGTGTTGACGGAGAGGAATCCTTGCAGTCCACGTAGTAGCAAAAGTCTCACAGTAACTGCTTCCTTCCGGAACTTTCATACAGAGTTGCGGCTCCTGGCTGATGCTTACATTAACTGGTCTCACTCCCACCGTTTAATGTAGTTTATAGTTTAAATGTTCATAATATTTTGAGCTGTTAGTAAGTAGCTTAGCTCTTTATAAACGTACATGTTTCTAATGCTTAAAATACTTAAGTCAGCTTCGCTGTCAATTAAATTATTACATGATCTTGAACGAATTGATTTAATTACGTGGAGTAATGTTAGTGGAGTGATCAATGCCACGTACATGTTTGCAGGTAATGTGCTGTATATTATTAAAAGCACTGCTAATTTTCATTACTAGCATGAGTTGGAAGGTTACTGACTTTTGCGGATGATATACTTGCATATAGGCAGGGGAAAGAGAGGGAACAAACAGCCCGGGAGCTACAAGCGACTGTGGTGTACATAAATTAGGGCTGTCGTCCACCTTGAAAAGGCGTCTGTTTTGTGGTGTTCTCTGGACAACAGAATCGTTAAAGCCAATGTCCCAAGTCTCACGATAGATGGTAGAAACGTCAACAGAGAGAGCAAACTGAAGTATCTGGGAATTACATTTGATAGCAGCCTGTCATTTAAGGACCATGTGGAGAGTGTTGTGACGAGATGAACAGTCAGACTTGTGTAGAGTCATAATCACACTGAGCCGGGAATGTAGAGATTGGCCAGCAGGTGCCACAGAGGTGGAAATTCAGCAGTTAATTCGAGATAATGCTCGCTCAGAGGATTTGGTCATTTACACAGACGGTTCAGTGTCAAGAGGCAAAAGAAGTGCTTGGGGCATCGTAGCAAAAGTTAATGGTCGACGTTTGATGCAGGAGAGCCTAGCATATAATACCACAGCATCCAGCTTAAGAATGGAGGTGGAGGCGGTCACTGCAGCTTTCCGCTGGCTAGAGATCACACACACACACACACACATTGTGATTGTAACTGATTCAGAAAGCATGCTGAGGAAGATCAGAATAGGTATGCTTTGTGCAGAGTGGCATGCTTCGCTGCTGAGGACACGGGTGAGAAATATTGTCTGGATTTTTTCACCGGCACGCCGGTGTGTTGGGAAATGAACAGGCGGACAGACTGGCTGGCTCTGCACAACGTGGTGGAATACTGATACATGATAGGGCAGACGTGGTTAGTGCCTTGTGGGAAAGCGTGTACAGTTTGGAGGGGCAGATGGATAACCACAGTCTGGGGAGATTGATGCAGTTGGGGATGACGAGAGGTTCTGGCAGATGCTCGAGGCTCAGAGGAAAGGCAAGACGGACGTTTAATCAGAATGCTACAGGCACCGTTAGAATCGGAACTCTTCGCTGTCTGCTGAAGATGGGGACGAAGCGCTTATGGGAATGCCCCGAGTGCTGTGATGTCGGTTCTTGAATAAAATAAAATCAAATCCTTTCTTTACACAAACATAGAACAAATTAACCTGTACATAGAAGGCAACACCCTTCCAAAAGAGGATAACCCCCACATATCTGGGAATAAAATTTGACAAAAGGCTAACCGGGTGTCCTCATATTGAAGACACCCAAAGCAAAGCTACTCTGAGGCTCAGGCTTTTGAAGAAACTTACTGGAAAAAGCTGGTGTGCCGATGCCAACACTGTCAGACAAATATGCACAGGACACGTACGACCAAAAACTGGAGTAAGGCATAGAAACATACTCCACTACAGCCAAATCAAACCTGCACAAACTGGACAAAATACAGAACACTGGTCTCATAATCATTACTGGAGGTATGAGAAGCACACCAGTCAGTGAGCTGGAGGCAACTTCTGGTCTCCATAGCATAAGCCTTTGAAGCGAAGAGAAGAAAATATGCTTATAACATAAAAATATAAATGCACGAACAACAACCCCATGCACAAAACAGCAAACAACTTAACTAAAAACCGACTGAAAAGAAAAATCTTTCACTATCCATCAAAATTGTACTGCGCAAAAAACAGTGACATCCTTTCTAAAGATCCTCCAACGTGAAAAATGATCCAGGTATGCCGCATAGACTGACAGCCTAACTATACAATCACAACAACAATTACAAGCATAGACAGAAAGGCTGAAGAATTTGACCTAGTACTGCACGCAAAGACCCTTGAACATGTCTACGACTCTTATCCAAAACCCGAATGGACACACGTATACACTGATGGACCATTGGAGGAAGTAAAAAAAAAAAAAAACCGGAGGAGCTGGATCGGTCATCATGCTGCAAGATGGGACCACAGTAGAAACATCATGCGTCTCCTGAAGATTCTCAACAAACTTCAGACCAGAGCAGAAAGCAATTATTGATGCAGCCAAAGTGCTTGAGGAAAGAAAAATTAAAAACAGCAACATTGTTTTTCTTTGTGACTGTATGTCAGTCCTCCATGCTACTCATAGGGATCCACGAGACAACATGTAGAGAGAACTGACCCGCCAGCTAAACACTCGCAGAAAATAATACAATCGTTCTCCAGTGGATCCCGGCTCACTGCAGCATACCAGGAAATGAGTTAGCAGACAGACTGGCAAAAAAAGAAAAACAACACACCCATCCATTGTCATTACAAAAAAAAAAAAAAAAACACTAATCTCACTGTACTTGTTGCAGTGGAATGAAATCCATTGCCGACTTGCTAGGCCTGGATTTAATACCGCTACAGCAAGTAGAGTGAGACAAGTGTTCTGTTGTCTAAATTACATACGAAGACAGTAAATCAAATGGATTGTTTACTTGAAGAAAATGCTTCCTGATACTATACCATACAAGGCATATACCAAAAGAGGAGAAGGACGTAGAGCAAGACGTAGACCAAGAACAAGATGGGAAGATAACATCAGTGAAACTCTACAGCACCACGATGTGTCTAAAGTTGAAGCAGCCAGAAGAGCACGAAGCAGGACCGTATATCTCACTCGACAACCGAAGCGGTGAAAGATTGCGTAAATAATAATAATAAGAAGAACACTTATCAATGAAAAATAAAAGGAATTGTGGAAAGAACAAACTAACAGTAAACATCCACACGACACCATCAGCAGACTCAACAGAAAGCAACATACAGCAATTTTTGAATACGAACAGGAGCAGGCGCAGCTACCACATGCATAAAATAAAGACTGCAGAGTCCCAACAGTGTGCCTGTCAAACAGGACCACAAACACCTGAGCACATTCTGCAGACCTGCCCACTCTACCTGCAACTTCGAAAAGACACCTGGCCTCAAGAGCAAAGTGTGCAGAGCAAGCAATGGGGAACCATGAAGGACCTGCAGCTGACATACTAGTTCACAGAGGCAACACACCTGATGGTCTGATCTGAGCTTACGAAACCGAACGCAAAGGAGAATAAGAATAAGAAGAAGACGTCTTTCTTCTTCTGTAAATTCATTCAATACATCTATCCCTTCGATGACGGAGTATATCCAGGAGAGGCTAGGAACCATCAGTCTGCACACAAATAAACCAGATATGTAAAACGGATGTGCACTTACCGCTCAAGCTCTGGGAGGAGACTTAAGTCCGGACGTGGAAGAACAGCTAGAACTTTTCACGTGAGTTGAGTTACTCATAACTTTCCACAGGAGTCGAGTTACTCATAACTTTCCACAAGTGTTTCACTGCCGATGAACGCGAAGAGGAACAAGTCACACAATAATGTATACATTTTTTTTTTCATTACCACTCTGGCAACAACAGAACCCAATTAATGTTGGACTTCTGTCTTCGTTGTTTAGTGTTCATACTGTTGCATGTTGGTCAAGGCTTTATAGGCGCAATACTCATGTTATCATTTGTGATTGTGTTTTGTTGGGAACATACAACCACAGCCCACCAGCACTGGATTCCAGGTTACTTCGTTCAGTCAATCAGGTAGTTGTAGCAGCAGTAGCAGTAGTAGTAGTATTAGTATTATTATTTTAGTACAGGCGATAAATTGCTGGACCTTGCCACGCAGCTCTTTAGGGCTGTTTATGTGCGGCAAGTTTTCTATCGCCATAGGTAATTTACAGAGATTTATGTAGTCAGATAATGGTTTCCTTTAGTTTTCATATTTCCGACACCCCAGCAAATAGTGCTCTATGTCACTGTATTTCTGGCATACATTACATGTTTCTTCATATATAGTAAAGCAAGACCATTCAAGTTATAGTCTAACAAATTTACGACTTTTCAACTTCATCTGTTATCTGACTTTGTCTTTTAGGAGGATTTAAAAACTTATATATTTGTCTACCCTTTAGGCTGTGGTCACAGTTCACATACCATTCCTGTAATATACATTGTTTAATCAATGATTTGATGTCTCCTGTGCTCATAATTATATTAGGAGTGTTTTTAGTTGATCTAGCTTGAAAAAAAAAAAAAAAAAAATCAGGTGCTGTCTCATCAGTGAAGTTTGGTTGCACCGGATCTCCAACACGCCCTGTCTCTTGTCTGGGTTGTACACTCTCTCTGACTGCTGTTCGTCCATCTCTTAAATAATACCGCCTCCTCCCCCACTTATCGTTGTCTATCTCTTGCTCTTTTGTCTTCGACCGTCTCTTCTATTATGTATTTTTTTTTTTTTAAAGTTTATTGTCTTTTGCGCACGCGCTTCGTAATGCCGGGGTGTCGGGTTCGATCCAACTGCGGGCCTGGCGCCTTGTGTTGGTTTCGACAGTGGTATCGAGAAGCCGACCGTCCAGCAGCAATGGCAAACTACTGGATGTAAATTTGCTAGAGAAACCACAACAGCAAATGCTGAGTTTGGTTCTGCAACGTCCTGTAAAGGATACGCAAAATTATTTCTTTTAATGTGTTATCTTCGTTAACCGCCGGGCAACTGTTTAATACGGTAGAAAGGACATTCTTGAATTTGTACGTGTTTGATTCTCATCTTTGAGTTGTTAGTAGTCCTACAAATGATAGTCCTGGAGAGAAAAAAAAATAATTAAACTGTAATCTACAACAGACTTCTCGTCTGGGTTGGCTTCTTTTTTCTTTCCACAATTCACTCTGATTAACATTTTCAGCCCCAGCTTCCTGTGTGTTCCTGGCCTGTTCCCGGTCTTTCCGTCGAGCGACTCCAGCAACGAGGCATGTGTTCTCTCCATCTAACCTGATTGTTTCTTAGATTTCGATGATTTTTTGAAAACAATTGACACAACATAACATTTTATAAATTTATTTTTCAGAATCTGAACAAATTCAACAATGCAGAACGACGCAGGAGAGTTCGTTGATCTTTTGATCCCCCGCAAATGGTATGTATTTTCTGCGAGTAGAATTTTGTCTCAAAATGGCCATGTGGTGTTTTAGAAACTTACTCATAGTTCCTTTGTCTGAAACTTTATCAGTAGCGTAATGTTGAAAATATATTAAATTCACGTTAATTGTATGCTTCGTATTTGCCATATGAAATTCTCCGCGACTTTTATAATAGAGACAAGATGCTGATTAATTTTAATTTGTACATTTTAATTAATAACGGGATTATAGTGCGGCTGTTTCCCTGTTGGTTTTTCCAGCGAGTGGCAGTCACTTGGTATCGGAACCAGGAGGAAAACGGCTAAAATTATCTGTAACGATTTTGTAAAATTTGTGCAGAAAGAACTAGCAGATATTTACAATTCAATGTTTTTTTTTGTATTACAAATATTTTGTGTGTGAACATAGCACACTGTATTGCTTTGCTTTCCTATTTGCGTGAATGGTTAGTTACGTAAAGTTGCCTAGAAAAACACAACAGCCAGTTGCAGAACCAACCCCAAAAGCCACTGGCTGTTGTTTTTCTAGGCAAATTTACGTCTAGTAGTTTGCCATTTCTTTCTGGACGGTCGGCTTTCTTGATACCATTTGCGTGAATAGAGGAATAAAATATGCTCCTGGTTGGTTGATTTTTATTTAGGGGCAGATTGTTTGAAATAATGCAGTAACGTATTGAAACATGTGCATACTTATATACAATCTTTTTTCTATTTTGGTTTTATTTCCGTGAATTTTGATGTAAGGGACCTTCTTATCTTTAGGCACAATTGGGATACCTTCTGTGCTAACCCTTAAAAAGACGACTGGCACATCGTTGTGTGATTTACAGCTAGGCTGCACCTTTTTGACTCCACAATGCAGTTTCAGGACATCACTAATTTTTCAACGATGTGCTTGATACAGCATGTTTTTAACTCTTAAATAGGGTCCCATAATCCACATAGGGAAATAGGTATACGAGAGTTAACCCTCTAATCTTATAGACCAATCTCACCTGGAATGCTGGGTTGCCAAATATTTCCTTATGTTGAAATATTAGGGCAGGCAGAGTTGACTTTCGCCTGGGGATGTGAAGGTGCACTCAATCACTTATACTGGGAATGATATAGTCATAGGAACAGGCATAGATAGGATCATTGTCTCTTAACTCTGATCATATCTGCTTAAGAAACCAGAAGTCTTGTTTAGAAGTGAATGATCAACAAGAACTTCGTTAGTTGCAGCCGGTGGAAGCGAAGAATACTGCCCCCCCCCCCCCCCCCCCCCAACCTCCCACTCTAGCATTTAGGGCCAAGAGGCAAGTATGCCATGATGACCTTAAATTGAGCATAGTTTAATTTGCATAAATAAATAAATGAAATATATATTTTTGTCAGCTAGCATATATAACAGAGATTAATTGCTTTTACACTACAAAACTGTTGCGCCAGTGTCTATGAAGCAGCCTTGATCTTGTTTCTGGTGTACTTATGAGAATATACAATTGTTTCTACAGCTCTGCCAGCAATCGCATTATTGGTGCTAAGGATCATGCCTCTATTCAGATCAACATAGCAGAGGTGAGTTAGACAGATAATGTAATAATTAAAAAAAATTGGCATATGATTTACATAGGAAAATGAGAGATTTGTGTCAGGCTACTTATTCATGAGCAGGTTGTCATGATTCACTGGGTGAGCCCAGTGCCTGAGTGACACATACTGGCTCTGTGTTTATGGAAGCCTTTGTTGTGCCACTGCCTTCCCTTGAGCACTGACCAGCTTTACGAGGCTGCTCATGATGGACCTAATTGGGAGGGGGAGGGGGGGGGGGGTCACCACCTGTGAGTTGGAGAACAAACATGACCACACAGTGAGACTCTTGTGTCCCACAAAAATAACTAGAAGATTAACCCGGGTGAAACATCTCAAGGCTTAAATAAAGCAGCCTTCATGCATCTTTGGATAAGCGTAGAATAGGATTTAAATACATTTAAGAGGCTATTGATTCTAAAGTTACATGACATCTTCTAACACATTGTCATTGTGTTATGTCCTGCTGCAGCTTGACATCGGATAACTTGTGCAGAGTGTTGGTGTTCCTCATAATAAGCCAGCCCCACATATTTTTGGTACATCCTTTAATAGTTTGATAATAAAGTATTAATTTATGATGGATGTACACATTAATTGTGAATGTTACTTTCAAGATTTAATATTAATATATTGTATACATCTTTTTCTAATCTTCTAGCAGGTTATTGGGAGGATTTTGATTAATTACACATGTACCTCTATACACTCACACTGTACATAAGATGGTAGAGACATGTTCACGAGTCCTGGGTATCTGGAAGCATCACTGTCACTACTACTTTGCACGTTTAGCTTCTGTTCTTTCTCCTCTCACTGGCCTGGCTCTCATCTTTGCTCAGAGCCGCGTTAGCGCAGCCGATAGGAGGCTTGCTTTCAAATCCAGCGACTCGCTGGTCGGTGTTCGAAACCGGGCGGTTCCCGTGGTTCACCCAGTCTCTAGGAAATGGGTACCAGAGTGACACTCTGGGGTAAATGGAGGAACATCGTTGTAGCTACAGAGTTACGTGCGAACGGCGACACAGGCGGACAGTTTCTTATCAGCTGTCTGTACTGGTGGCAGAGCACTTATGGTTTATAACCGTGTGCAATGACGCTGGTTCACATCTCCCGACTTTACCTTTACTTTACCTCATCTTTGCTGTTGTCACATATCTAGCCAGTACTCTCTGACATTTCAGGTTGATGAAACCACAGGCAGAATGACAGGGGCCTACAAGACGTATGCTATCTGTGGTGCAATCAGAAGAATGGTGAGTGTTGCCAGATAAACTTGTACTTGGCCAGTATTTGTGATACAGTGGGAACCACAGCTAGATAGGGGGGACAAGAACATATTTAATTTAAACCTGTACTCTCCATGTGAGTCCTGGGTCCTTATTTTTAGTTTAAAAAAATTTTTTTAGATTCGCTCCTAGATGTTGTAGGTGGTTGACTAATTATAATTTCCCAGTGTGTTCTTTGGCCACAAATGGAAAGGGGGGGGGAAGAAATATACCTACCGCCTGCCCAAAAATGTCATAATTACTTGAGGCAAGGCACCAACTGTCCATATAAAGTCAGATCCATAAAACGAATGTGTACTCACTCTAGTTCTGGAAATGGATGAACAAGCAGAACTTTCCGCCGGAGTTCACAGTAGCTGAGCACGGAGAGGAATTTTTTTTCATCTTGCTGAGAGGCAAGAAACCAACTGTTGAAATACAAAATTTTTTTTTTTTTAGTAAGTGTATGTTGATGTACTAATGTACTAATGAAAAACTTATTTGTTTAAAGTGCAGTCATAGGCTGAATTGAACAGGATCATATTATTTATACTATTGCTGATGTTGCAGGAAGGGTTGAAAAGCTAATTTATAGCTTCTTGTCATATGGAGCACATGATAAACTGGTTGAGACTTTTACATTTTTATACATAATTCTGTTTCTTTGATATAAACTCTTTAAGAGATCATAAATCTAAATGCTCTAAAGTATGTTACACTTTTTTGGGGTCATACTGTTTATGCTGTAGGGTGACAAGCTCCACTTGCAAGAACATGGGTAGTGAGCATACTTCAGATCTTTTTTCCAGACCATACCAGCATATTGGGGGAATGAACAGGTAGATCCACTAGGTGGTGAATTGATGCATGACAAGGTAGATGTGATCAGAGCTCTTTGGAAAAAAAAGTCTGAAGAGAAACTAAATTGCTATGAGCTGGAGAGAATGATGCACCTGGGTTTGATCAGAGGGTTTGGCTGGGACACTACACTCAAAAGAAAAAGCTAGACGACATAACAACCAGACTACGACCGGCAACATTAGTACCGGAACTCTACGATGGCTGCTGAGGATAGGGATGTAGCGCACATGAGAATGCCTCGAATGCTGTGATGTCAGTTCCTGACTCAACTCGGCTTATGCTGTAAAGTGTCACATAGATGTAGTTTCCTGTCTCTTGCTAACTGCGTAGCTTATGTTAATGTCACATGCATTTCTCTTGTTCTGCTCGGTATATACGATGTTCCTAAATATATTTGTAAAGCCGGTCAGTCATATTTTTCTTAACCTGTCCGTGAGAGGAGTCTAGAAGTGGACGAGCAATCAGAACTTTTTGCTTATATTTACAGTTGGTAAATCTGAAGGAGGGCTTGGTATGAGTTTAATGAGGGCCTGTCTCCTCTAGGTGATGGTGATGAAAGGCGAAATGGTAAAAAGTTCTGCTGTTTGTCCACCTCTGGATATGTCTTGTTTTAGAACCTGGGTGTAGCCTGCACATCTGTTTTATAGGTCTAACTCGCCTGTATGCAGATTGTTGGTTCCTAGCCTGTGACAGAAGCACTCCGACTTAGGAAGCTCCCAGTTAGTCGACTCTTACTTACTACATGCATGTTGGAAAGGCAGTGGGTCTATTCTCCGCAATGGGGTACAGGAACCCACATGGGAAAGTGGAACATGTTTTCGGTCTCTAAAAGTGTCCAGCATCACAATATGTTGTTAGTATATTACAGATTTGATATGTTCCTACTGGTTTATTTCTCTTCAGGGAGAGTCCGACGATTCACTGGTCAGGTTGGCAAAACGTGATGGAGTGATTTCCAAGTAAGTCTTGTCTCCAGAGCTGTGTAAAAATAAAATTAAAAGGGTTGACTTCATTGCACTGGCTCTGCCTGTCCATATAACACCTAGTCGTTTTCCTGGTGTGCTGCACAAAGCAGGAACTCTAGCTCTGGTGACTATCCCAAGGGATCCTGCACTATTAAACTGACACACTTGCGACACAAACCTAGGACCTTCAGAGCACGAGCAACATCATATGGAAGATGCATTGCAGATAAGGAGAATAAGCCAAATTTTAGAGTTAGACCATAAAATGGCAGTGGGCCTGTTGTACCGGTATTCTGCTTTGATATCTAACTTGCAACCAAAAATATGCTATTTCAACAAACCAAGGCCATTTGCCCTCAAACCTGGGGGAGTGGGGCAGAGCCCACATAGGTAGATAGGCCAAATCAGCTGCTTTTTAGGAGGATCTCGGTGTGTGTTCCCTGCTCTGTTTGGGTAGTGGAGGTCGATCTAATGCCTCCCTAACGACTAGCACAGATATTTTGGATATTTATCTCAAAGCCGGGGTGCATCTCTTGAGAGATGAGAACCAAAATCTACCCAAGCCAAATCTAATACGGATGTAACTTGGAAGTCTCAACAAGACCAAAGTCCAGAAATGGATGTGCGAGTTTACAGCCTGTGAAAGAGACAGCTAAAGGATGAGTAAATGAATATGTGGAATGAGACTAATCATTTAGTCATATCAAGAAGCATTGGAGAACATACAGAGTCGCTGGTTAAACAGATAAGATTGCTGTATGAGACCCCAAGCTCACGTCAACACGTTTTTCTGGGGAGGGCGGGCTAATTCAATGTTAACCTGCACATTCCATGGGGACAGTACTTGGCCATTCTTTATTCAGAAAGACCCTCCCTCTCCCTCTTTATACTGCAAAAGTGGCCAATACAGGCAGTTAAAAATTAAGTAAATACAGATACCTTTTCATGCCTTTAGATCACATTTTTAGAGACCGACACTAGGTGGGCATCATGCTGACCATTTTTACTTCTCTACGACATACATTCAGTAACCCATTTTATACTGGGTTGACCTGCAACGCCTTATACCATGATAAAAGCAGCCAGCAGTGGGTTTTGATCGCTGTACCTTAAACTCATGAGTCAGACTCGCAACCCCTAAGCCACGGACCGCAGCTAAATACAGGCAGTAAAAACTAATATCAATAGAATTAGTCTAGAAGACAATCTGTGGAAACTGCCTACAGCAAGGCACCTATCTTCCTTGTATGTGTGTGTGTGCATGGGTGTGATGTCTCGCTTACAACAAATCTGTACCATGAGGTGGACAAGATAGGTAATTCTTTTTTGGGGTAGAAGGGGAAAGTAAAAACACGGTCATCAAGTATTTTAGGGTGGAGGAGTCTAACCATTCTTGCAAGAGATCTCAGGATTTTAAGGACAGACTTGAAAGTATTTTAGATTGAATTTGTAATGTTTGTACTTTTACATACATAGTTTTCTTTTTCCACAGGACCTTCTGAGCCATGCAGCCGTGACATGTACCCAGTTTAGAAATAATAAAGTGAATATGGTTTGCTTCAGCTGTGTTTTTGTGTGTGTCTTGTTGTGTGTATGGATGGCTAGTTGCTGTTAATAGGTCTCTGAGCCTTATTGTAAGGAAACTGGAATAGATCACTGCCTTCCAAAACGAGAATGTCAAAAGTGTTGACTGGGGGCTTTGTTTAAACTAAGACAGGGAAACAAGACTGCATTAAAAATAAGCTGTGTTTGTCAGCATCTGGACTGCGACGATCCCCATAAAAAATTCTAGCCTTTGGGCAAACCTAAATAGCTCTGCTCTAGATTCCCTATGGGCACCTGCAGGAATGCCCAACATCATATATATAGCACACTAGGGACACTCCTATAACAGCAAACATCATATAGCACACCAGGGACACTCCTATGTTACTTGCTCCGAAAGAGCTCTCACAAACATGTAGCTTGTCATTAATCAATCACCAAGATAGGTGGGCAGATAGTAAACCAAGGACTGGGGAGGTCAACTGATCAACATCATGGCATATGGGTAGTTACAATAAGTGCCTGAGCTCCTGCTGCTAACTCTTCACATTTACTGGCTGTTCTGATTTTTTGTCCACTTCTGGACTGCAGTCTTGTTTCAGAACCTGTGTTGCATGTGCATCAGTTAAAAAAGATCTGACTAATCTGTGTGCAGATTGTTGGTTCATTTCCTTTCAGGCAGATGCACCCCGACTTCGATGAAAACTGCTGAAATAGGAAAGTAACTAGGTGACTGCTGAATTCAGTCAAAATTTGGTAACTATCACAGCTGTGCTGTAAACAGGCACGCTATACACCACCTGGACAAACATGATATCTGGCCTTTGAATATAAGGGTGAAAATTGGATATTGAAAAAAAAAATTTTTGCCTGCCTCCTATATCTCTTTCACGGTTTGACTCTTGCAATGATATCTTAAACCAGTGAGAACTTATTTAACCCGCCCAGTGCCATAATCAAACCCAGTAAACATTAAACGGTTGCTGTGCTGTTAGAAAACTGCTCACATTAAAGAAACGGTTGCTGTGCTGTTGGAAAACTGCTCACATTAAAGAAACGGTTGCTTGCTGCACTGTTAAACTGCCAATGTCCCAAAACATGTTCATAGCACCATGTGTGATTCTGGTTCACTGCTTCCCAGTGCATACAATTCTCGTGCTCACTGACTGGATTGGAGCACTAATGTTGGTCTATCAAGTTCACGTGCTCACTGACTGGATTGGAGCACTAATGTTGGCCTATCAAGTTCTCATGCTCACTGACTGGATTGGAGCACTAATGTTGGTCTATCAAGTTCTCATGCTCACTGACTGGATTGGAGCACTAATGTTGGTCTATCAAGTTCTTGTGCTAACACTGACTGGATTAACAAGTGCACACAGCTCAAGGTGAATTCTGTCTTGTGAAGAACAATTTGTTATCCCTAGCAATGTTTCCTTGCTGGATAAGAAAAGCCTTTCTTGGGATCTGTGAGTTCTCCTTGTCAGGTCTGCACTAAATGTAGTTCTGTTTTAGATAATCTTACCACATCCTGGAAGGGGGCAGAAGAATATTTCATTGTGCGGAAATCATGAACAGTCCTATTACTGACCTAAAAGCATGTCATAAGAGTTCACTAACTGGGAGGTTCGTGAGAAGCAAGAAACCAAGTCTGGCTCTGAGGAAGGACTAGGGTCCAAAATCAAACCAGAACTTTCCGCCAGAATTTACAGCCAGTAAATTCACAGAAAAAGAAATCTTGAATTCTAGGTACACTATTTTGTTAGCTGTGCATCCTTGCTGCAGAACAACCCTAGCATTTTTTGACTTTTATGGTGTCTCTGGGCAAATTTATGTTTGATAGTTTGCCACTGCTTCTGAATGGTCAGTTTTCAATCCCTGTGACCAGAACTTTCCGCCAGGGTGCACAGCTGGTGAACGCGAAGAAGAATCCCTGTGACGAAATAATGCAAGGCAGTTTTCCGTACAAATCACCCAAAGTAAGAATCAAACCGGATATCACCAATTTACAAAGCGCAATGAGTAAGCCACAGATGCAGAAGTTTTTTTTTAAAAGATATTTTTTAAAAAGTCACGTATTTCATGTAAAAATCGAAAAGGCAAAACAAAACTTAAGAGAGAACCTGCATATCACCTAGCTATTAAAAAAAAATAATCTTTATACAAGTGACAATAGTTATTGACTTTTACACAATGTCATATTTCAGTTTGTTGAATGTTTGTCAATGCTGGTGGGAAGGGGATACATAGAGACTTCTACTTAACAGAAGTGGACCATGGGCAATCATCAAGGATGTGGTTCCAAAGAAATTCTACAACATATGAACTGGAACTCTGTCTTGGGTGCACTAGATAGGGATAGAATGTTTGGAGTCTTATGACGACGCTTCTTAGCTCGAATCACAAAAAAAAAACTAGATCGTATTTTTCTTCTGCTTCTCTGGCTGCGAAAAGTTTGTCTACTTTGTGACCTGGTTCCAGAACTTGAGTGTTTCATGCATATCTGCTTTACAGATCTGGATAGTGTGCAGACTGTTGGTTCCTGACCTAAGCAGATGCAGAGTTTAAAGAAAATAATAGCAATGAAGATGTCAAAGAAAATAACTTGGGACATGTAAGCAATGTACACATGAAGATGGTCAAAACTGGAATATGTTTTGCCAACCTGAAAACTGTAAGGGAAGAGAAAAACAGCGGGAAATAAACAGAAAATCAAAGCAGGAAGGAATTAGTAAAAGTGAAGAACCCTTTTTTATTTTACTGGTACATTCAGCAAACGAACGAAAGAGAAATAAAAACCTGACAATCAACATACAAGCACAATAAAAAAAGACATACATACAAAATAAAAGACCACAAAAAGGTTTTACCTTTTAAAAAAATACATTTGTTGTTGCATACATGGAAAAGGAACTGATCATAAAGCTAAATTCAAATGTATCATTTGTTGACTTGTTTTAATGAGATCAAGTTGTTCACTGCTGTCTTGGGAAAGTATAATTACGGAACTCTGACCAATGACTATTGGGACACCCAATAGGGGTGACCATCATGTCGAAAGGCAAGCCAAAGTAGGCCACTAGTGATTTCTCAAAGGAAAAGTAGCCCTCAAATCTGACAAAATTTGGCCATCCTAGTGATATTTTATGCAGTGTAGCATCAGTTACCTGTCCATAGTCTTTTATTTTGTATACTGCCAACTATTCCTAATTCTTCTTTGACATTATGCCACACAAACATCTCTGACTTCTGTCTCTCTTACTCTTACACAAAACTTTCCCTTACAATAAATTCTGGTTTTCCCTTCTTGTCAGTGCCTGAAGAATTTGCTCTGTCCCCCATGCAGATAGTTTTCTCTGTCAAGTTAAAATTTTTAAATGTCTTAATGTATTACCTTGATACAGTATATTTTCATTTTCTTTGTTCTCCAATCTGCCATGTTTATGGAGCTTGTTATTTCAACGCCTTCCAAGCAACATATCATATGATGTGCCACTGATTAAAACTCATATGTACTAATCAACAGAAGAAGTGTGATTGCATTTATATATTTTTGCCACAGCACATGCAAGAAATCTGGCCAACATGTTTTTAAAAAATAAACAATATGAGGTGCATTTTTTGGGTCACTTGGAAAGTTATGCACATGTGATTTCACTGTCTTCTTCGGTGAGCAGTTCTGGACCTTATGGGTACGAAAACTAAACATTTAACTTTCATCAACAAATAAAGTAAAGGACCCCTTTCCACGTCTTCAGGCGTATTGGCTAGACCTATATTTTATAGACCAACACACCTTTACTTCCCAGGACTGTACCTGGTACCCATTCAACCTGGAAGCCAAGGTCATAAAAAAAAAAAAAAGTCAGACTCTGAATCCACGACCTTCCGATCCACAGGCAAGTGCCTTGCCGCTCGACCACGACAGCTCCCTTCATTAACAAATGCTTGCCTAAATTTTAAGAGCAAAAAGTGTGACACCAACAAGGTTTTATTTAAAAATTAAAAATGTAGCCGACACATTTACAGTCAGTCAGCTACTAAACATATCAGTATTACATCAGGGCTATTCAATTAAGTTGACTCAGTGGACAAAATGTTCAAACATGGATATCATCACATGCCAGAAGAACCTGCCCCAGCATAGAAAGACCATAAATGCAATACAACTAGCAGTGATCCCCGGGCCACTTGCTAGGCCTTGGCGGGCCAGATTTGGCCAGCAGGCCGCCAGTTGAATAGCCCTGATCTACATCTTGCTGAGGAAAATGAAGAATCTATAAATGAGTACAGAGTGCAATTATACTGATTACTGCCAAGAATAACAATATGGATTTCTAATTGATTTTCTTGAAATTTAGAATACAAGTTTTTTCTTCTCGAGGTTTTATCTAACACCCCAGCATATGGGTTTTCTTTAAAAGTATTATAAAAGGTCAAAGATTTTCCTTCCAGTTTTTCTGAAGTCAAAAACTAGGTATTTCCTTTTTCAAAATATTATGTAAATTCAGTTTTAGGTATTTCCTTCTAGAAACTCATATTCAAGTGTTGGGATTTATTGCTAGAGTTTATAAAACAGCATACATATGATCTTTTTAGAGATTATGTAAACTCAAACTACACATGACCCTCTTTCCACGGTGGTACTAAATTCAAAATAATTATATCCATTGACATTTTTTGCAAACAACACATAAAGAACAGTTTTGTATAAACCCCACTATTGTCAAACGCAGAATAAGGGTATAAACTCCACACAGAGACAAATCTGGGCACACCAGCTTAAAGAGAATAAAAATAGCATTTCACATTCAGTATATACAGTGACACAAATAAATAGCCTTAGCGATGGTTGGATTTTTGAAAGTACTCTTTGGCATTTGGAAACCGGTCTGAGGCAAAGTCCTGGTCGGAAGTGATTCGAGATGCCAGCATCCTGGTCACTTCACTCTCCAGCTCTGTCTGCAGGTCCAGATCATCGGCCGCTTCCTGAGCCATGTTTTCTTCACTGCTTATGGGTTCGGCATCGGCAGCTCGGGCTGCCCGTTTCAAGGAGGTTGGTAGGTACAGTGGCATGTTGCCCATCTCATCGGCATGTTCCAGGGACGCCATCTGGGAAGAAACATGGAAGTGAACTCTTTCTATGCTAGGTAATCATGACATGGATACAAAGTAGGTCAACAAGCCATAGGGGACATAAACTAGGTCCTCATAACAAGGGTTAATATAAGGTAGGTCACCATGGCATGGAGGAATATTAAGGCAGATATACCCAGACTTCAGAGGAAACAGTCTACTTTAACAACATGCTAGCTAGAGAAAAAATGGGTCTATTATCCCATCCCTCAACAATGGGGTCCTGAAATCCATACGGGAAAGACGGAATTCAGAGGAAACACTCCTAAGCAGTCGACTTTAACAACATGCTTGTTAGGGAAGCAAAGGGTCTATTCTCCCGCCCCTCAACAATAGGGTCCTGGAACACATAAGGGAAAGACGATTGGACAAGACAAAAATGACAGATGAAAAAAAAGAGGGGATAAGAAAAATCACTGGAAGAAGGAATATTGAATTAAGAATTGACATCACAGCATTCGGGACACTTCCATAAGGGCTCAGTCCCCATCTTCAGCAGCAAGTGAACAGTTCCAATGGTACCAGCAACCATCTAATTTTATATCTGTCTCATCCTTCCCCTGAGTGTTGAGCGTCGGTCAGATCCCCTGGTAGCAGCGCCATTCTCCTTAGACCGTAATGATCTATCTGCACCTCCGCACTGTCTACTCGCTCCCAAAGGGCCCTCACAATATTTAACTTGTCATACACCAATTCACCACCAAGTGGTGCAGAGCCAGCCAGTCTATTGCCTGCTCATTTCCTAACACACCGGCATGACCTGGTGAAAATATCCAAAGGATGCTAACTACCCAGGACCTCTGAAGTGATGCTTGCCACTGCACGAAGCATGCCTGTTTTCACCTTTCTCAACATGCTCAGTGAGTCAGTTGCAATCATTGCATGTGTGTACAGCTGATTCTCAAGCCAAAAGAAAACCATATACAATAATAATCAAGAAAGTGAGATAAGCACAAACAAATCATTGAAAGAACAACGGTGATAACATAAAAAGAAATAAATTTGTTGAATAATTAATGAGAACCTACTCGTCGACGTTTTGCTGGCAGACCTTGCAAGTAGGCATCACTGAGCGGAGGCTGGGTCCTCTGATTCTGTTGTCTGATTATATCTCTGCTGATTACTGGAATCCAATCCTGAAAACCAAACCAACATTTCTTATCAAGTTGATACCAAACTGTCTTGTTAAAGTCGAAACCAAATGTTATCAAACACCTGGGCAGATTTACTGACGACAATTGAAATACACCTGAAAGTGGCACCTTGGGTCACGGACATCTCTAGTTACGAAGAAACTGGCCCAATTTCCAATCAACCCATAAAGACAATTTCCAATCAACCCATAAAGACAATTTCCAATCGGCACATGAACACAGTTTTTAAAAAAAATGTTGAATGTAATGAACGCACCAACATGGCTTTGAGGCCATGTTTTCGGCTCGTGAACAGCACCAGCTGTGCTCAGGTTTGTGTGCTATGAACACTGTCATTGCAGTGGATCCTAAGAGAGTGAAAAGTGTTAGCGACAGTGATGCAAAGAAGCCTAAGTGTAACTGCAGCAGAAACAGAAAAAAGTATTAAAAAACATGAATGGTGTTTGTGTTTCTGATCTTGGCAAGTAGTACGACACGGCTCAATCTACAATCTGTGCTATCTTAAAAAACAAAGATGAACTAAACATGGTGGCTAAAGGAGTTATTATGTTAATGAAGCAAAAGTCTCAACTGTTAGAAAAAGTAGATCCCTGGTGGGTTTGGGGGTCCTATTGTTAGGAAAACAAGAATATAACCCAATGCCTCCTCAACAAGCATGTGGTACGAGTCGACTAATTGGGAGCTTCCTTCGAAGTCACAGTACATCTACCTGAGAGGCAAGGAACTAACAGTCCCGTACAAAAAAGTCAGATCTGCAAAATGATTGTGCACGCAACACACAGGTTCTGGTACAAGAGTAATGCCCCTTAGGTGGATGAACACGAAGATGACAAAAAAAGATGATGTAGACAAATTCTTGTTTGAATTAATGAAAAGCAGTTTTCTGGAGATAGCATCAGTGAGTCCCTAATATACGAGAAAGCTTTACTTTTGCATGGTGATTTCTTCCCCCTCCTCCTCCTCCTCTACCATCTGCCTGTGCCAGCAACTCTCAACCACAAAGTTAAAGTTATACTGTAGACTGTATATTTTCCCCAGACATAAGTCCACTAAAAGCAACAACAAAAATGTGTTTCTGGGGCAGGCAAACAGATCAATTGCATCTGCATTAATTTCAATGGGAAAAAAATGTTTTGGTTCCCGAACAAAGTCAAAGAACAAATTAAGTTTGTGACCCGAGGTAGCACTGCAGTACTGGAAACAAACTATAAATACGCACACACAAAAAACAGCAGTATAGAGACAAAAGCCATATGAGACTGACAAAAGCATAAGTCAGTTACTATAAATCTGCAGTACCAACTCATGAAAAATAAGACTCTCTATATGTGGGCAAACAATTTTTTTTGCCGTCTTTGTCTTCTTCTTCTTCGCGTTCACCAGCTGTATACTCTGGCGGAAAGTTCTGGTTGCAAGTCCACTACTGAACTGCAGTCCTGTTCCAGAACCTGAGTGTTACATGTGCATCAGTTTTACAGATCTCATTCTTTTGAATACAGACTGTTGGTTCCTTGCCTCTCCGGCAGATGCACTCTTGACTTCAAAGAAAGCTCCCCAATTAGTCGACTCTTACGACATGCTTTTGGGGAGGCAGTGGGTCTATTCTTGTTTTCCCGACAATGGGGCCCCGGAACCCACACAGGGGGTCTTTGTATGTAATTTGCTCTGTATCGACTTTTTTTATCTTATGTCTTCATTCATTATTTGATCTCTTCGGTCACTCCTGCAATTCTTCTCAGAGATCTCATTTCTATGGTTAGTAATGTTCTTTTCAAAGTCGAAATGCGTGTGCCTCAGAGATGAGGAACCAACAGTCTGCACATAAATAAGTCAGATCTGTAAATGGATGTGCAGGCAAAACTCAAGTTCTGAAACGCGACCAAAGTCCTAAACTGGTTGAATAATTTGAACTTTTCTGCTGGAGTTTGCAGCCAGTGAAAATAAAGAAGAAAATGATCTGGACATTTGTCTCATTTATGCCATATGATCATGCCATCTGGACATTTGTCTCATTTATGCCATATGATCATGCCATCTGGACATTTGTCTCATTTATGCCATATGATCATGCCATCTGGACATTTGTCTCATTTATGCCATATGATCATGCCAACTGGACATTTGTCTCATTTATGCCATATGATCATGCCATCTGGACATTTGTCTCATTTAGGCCATATGATCATGCCATCTGGACATTTGTCTCATTTATGCCATATGATCATGCCATCTGGACATTTGTCTCATTTATGCCATATGATCATGCCAACTGGACATTTGTCTCATTTATGCCATATGATCATGCCATCTGGACATTTGTCTCATTTAGGCCATATGATCATGCCATCTGGACATTTGTCTCATTTATGCCATATGATCATGCCATCTGGACATTTGTCTCATTTATGCCATATGATCATGCCATCTGGACATTTGTCTCATTTACGCCATATGATCATGCCATCTGGACATTTGTCTCATTTACGCCATATGATCATGCCATCTGGACATTTGTCTCATTTACGCCATATGATCATGCCATCTGGACATTTGTCTCATTTACGCCATATGATCATGCCATCTGGACATTTGTCTCATTTATGCCATATGATCATGCCATCTGGACATTTTGTCTCATTTATGCCATATGATCATGCCATCTGGACATTTGTCTCATTTATGCCATATGATCATGCCATCTGGACATTTGTCTCATTTATGCCATATGATCATGCCATCTGGACATTTGTCTCATTTATGCCATATGATCATGCCATCTGGACATTTGTCTCAATTATGCCATATGATCATGCCATCTGGACATTTGTCTCATTTATGCCATATGATCATGCCATCTGGACATTTGTCTCATTTACGCCATATGATCATGCCATCTGGACATTTGTCTCATTTATGCCATATGATCATGCCATCTGGACATTTGTCTCATTTATGCCATATGATCATGCCATCTGGACATTTGTCTCATTTATGCCATATGATCATGCCATCTGGACATTTGTCTCATTTATGCCATATGATCATGCCATCTGGACATTTGTCTCAATTATGCCATATGATCATGCCATCTGGACATTTGTCTCATTTACGCCATATGATTATGCCATCTGGACATTTGTCTCATTTACGCCATATGATCATGCCATCTGGACATTTGTCTCATTTATGCCATATGATCATGCCATCTGGACATTTGTCTCATTTATGCCATATGATCATGCCATCTGGACATTTGTCTCATTTAGGCCATATGATCATGCCATCAAGACCAAGTCTTTGCTTTTCTCTTGCACCTTTCCCAAAGCATTTGTTTAAAAAAAAAAAAGCTCAATAGGTAGTCTATTTTGCCCAAGGATGTCTCATAAGCTGGCAATCTGAAGGACAAGTCTTCTTCTTTGACAGGGGATGGCAGCACCAGTAAATATTTACACCCCCCCCCCCCCCCCCCCCAAATCTAAGCTGTGCATCCTTTACAAGATGCAGAACCAGCCCCAACATTCTATTCGCCCGTTGTGATTTTACCAGGCAATGTTAAGTTCAGTAGTTTGTTTAGGAAGCGCGTTGGCAATGCCTAAGCCACAGACACTGAGCTAGAGACAGATTTCATAATGACGGTCAGGCCAATGTAGATACGATCAAGTTTCCTTCAAAGTCAGACGACATCTGCCTGAGAGGCAAAGAACCAACAGTCTGTACATAAATAGGTCAGATCTGTAAAACAGATGTGCATTCCACACTCAAGTTCTGGAAGAAGGCCAAAGACCAGAAGTAGATGAATAACCAGAACTTTCGGCCAGAGTTAACAGCCGGTGAATGTTAGGAAAAGAAGAGACTGCAGAAGGTCCCCTTCACTATCTATTCTGTGTGTCACTTTACCTGCGGTACCACAGACTGCCAATCATCAGAGCTCCGCCCATTTCTCAAGTTTCCACTGCGCTCAACAGCCCTGCCAACACGACTGGCTTGGACTGCTATAGTATTGGGCCGGTTCTGCAGAGGTGCCAGGCCAATGATGCTCTCCTGAGCATCTTCAAAAATGTCATTCTCGTCTAGATCTTCGTCAAGAGCAAGCCTGGCCACCTTTGAACAGACAGAGAGAGCTTACCAGCCGGGGCCACAATTTTGTAGGGCATGGGGTCTCTGTAGTGAAGTGGTCAAACCATTTGTCTCGTGCCAGGAAGGTCACTGATTAGTTTAGTGGACTTTGGTCGTTTGGTTCAGGTAAGCAATTTTTTTTCCAGAGATCTCTGGGAATCACAGGAGCTATGGTGTCTGCTTTGTCCAACATTTCCGACAGACAGCTAGCCCTTCTGGAGATAGAGGGAAAGAGTGAGCCCTATTGGGTAAAACCTAGTGCAATTAAGTCGATCATCTCTTTTAGCAAAAATTTTGCTTGAAATTATGCTGCTCTGCTGTATATATGGATTAGTTATTGTACCTGAGCATTTAAAAAAAAACATATATATAACATATTAACAGAATGAGTTCCTTATGTTGGCTGTCTACGCTCTGGAACACTGAGTTTAAACACTATCTCAGGCACTTGCACACTGACTTCAAAGGTAACACTGATCCTAATCTATGCTAGCCAGGCCCCCAGATGCAATCCTGTTTCACCATCACATGTGGTTCAGCCCCTGCATCCCTTGTTGTAGATGACCATCACATGTGGTTCAGCCCCTGCATCCCTTGCTGTAGATGACCATCACATGTGGTTCAGCCTCGGCATCCCTTGCTGTAGATGACCGTCACATGTGGTTCAGCCCCTGCATCCCTTGCTGTAGATGACCATCACATGTGGTTCAGCCTCGGCATCCCTTGCTGTAGATGACCGTCACATGTGGTTCAGCCCCTGCATCCCTTGCTGTAGATGACCATCACATTCTCTCTTTAAAAGCCAGTGGTTTGGGTGACTAGTTCTGCAAAACTATTGTTTTTTCAGCGTCATGTGAATACTTGGAATACTTGGCAGGACTGAGCGATTCAGTGAACATGTTCAAGAAAGTCCAGACTGGCTTTATCAGACATGAATGAATTCTCTTATTAAATGCATCACAAATAACCTTGATCTTCGTGCTGTTGTATGCAGGTGTTCATGGCAATGAGCCTGCAGATTATCAGGCAGAAAAGGCGGTTACGACTGGGCAGCCTGGCACTGAAAAGGAGTCATTAATCCCATGCCAGCTGCATAACGCAGATAAGATCACGACAACAAGCTGGACTCAGCATCCTTGTCCAGGTTGGGGGACATGAGTGCAACCTGGAGTGGTCAGGTACCAACATTTCACCAAGGGCACAAGGTGGCTGGTTAATCAACACAGAATGGCCATGATCAGTCATTTTACTCTTTTGGAGCTACTGAGGAGGAGATCGGAGCACCTATGGATCTGTCCGGAGTCCTGTGATGATAGTCCTCACTAATCCCTTGGCAGGTCTACCCTTACAACTATAACTACTCTACTATTACTACTACTTCTACACCCACCGCCATTAATTTCCACTTACCCTTCCCTGTGATGATAGTGGTTCAGCTGTATCCATAGGACTTGGAGATGAATCATTCGACAAAGTGCAAGTGGAAACACTGACTGCCCCATGGTCTGGAGACAAGCGACCATCAGAAACTGCTGACGACTGACCAAGTCCTTCAGAAGTAGACACAGCTGACCTAAAGACAGAAGAAGATATGTACTTGTTAGTTTTTATGACGCTAATTAATGGTCGCTGTTACACAATAGGGCGAAGATGCTGGTAAGTTAGTGTCTACCGCATGTTCACAAGTTAGCAGGATTCAATTTAAGAATAAAGCAGGGAATTTTCACAGAAATAATGGTTTTTAATAACATCATAAGCTCCTATGATCATTTTAGTAGTGTGACTGGAGACCTATCCTTCTCACATAAGGGCTGCAGAAATTTAAAAAAAGAGGACTGACCTGGGCAACAAATGCCTGCAGCAGTTGATGTATGGATTAGAGGACTGACCTGGGCAACAAATGCCTGCAGCAGTCGATCTATCGACTGGAGTGCTGACCTGGGCAACAAATGCCTGCAGCAGTTGATGTATGGACTGAAAGGCTGACCTAGGCAACAAAAGCCTGCAGCAGTTGATGTATGGACTAGAGGACTGACCTGGGCAACAAATGCCTGCAGCAGTTGATGTATGGACTGGAGGACTGACCTGGGCAACAAATGCCTGCAGCAGTTGATGTATGGACTAGAGGATTGACCTGGGCAACAAATGCCTGCAGCAGTCGATCTATGGACTAGAGGACTGACCTGGGCAACAAATGCCTGCAGCAGTTGATGTATGGACTAGAGGACTGACCTGGGCAACACATGCCTGCAGCAGTTGATGTATGGACTAGAGGACTGACCTGGGCAACACATGCCTGCAGCAGTCGATGTATGGACTAGAGGACTGACCTGGGCAACAAATGCCTGCAGCAGTTGATGTATGGACTAGAGGACTGACCTGGGCAACAAATGCCTGCAACAGTTGATGTATGGACTAGAGGACTGACCTGGGCAACAAATGCCTGCAGCAGTTGATGTATGGACTAGAGGACTGACCTGGGCAACAAATGCCTGCAGCAGTTGATGTATGGACTAGAGGACTGACCTGGGCAACAAATGCCTGCAGCAGTCCATGTATGGACTTGAGGACTGACCTGGGCAACAAATGCCTGCAGCATTTGATGTATGGACTAGAGGACTGACCTGGGCAACAAATGCCTGCAGCAGTTGATGTATGGACTAGAGGACTGACCTGGGCAACAAATGCCTGCAGCAGTCCATGTATGGACTTGAGGACTGACCTGGGCAACAAATGCCTGCAGCATTTGATGTATGGACTAGAGGACTGACCTGGGCAACAAATGCCTGCAGCAGTTGATGTATGGACTAGAGGACTGACCTGGGCAACAAATGCCTGCAGCAGTCCATGTATGGACTAGAGGACTGACCTGGGCAACAAATGCCTGCAGCAGTTGATGTATGGACTAGAGGACTGACCTGGGCAACAAATGCCTGCAGCAGTTGATGTATGGACTAGAGGACTGACCTGGGTAACAAATGCCTTCAGCAGTCCATGTATGGACTGGAAGGTGCAAATACCACTGCCAATGCTGTAAAAGGGCACAATGCAACTACATCCTTGATCTTTTGTTTAAGCATTAACTAGCTGTAAACTTCCGAAGGAAAGATCTGTTAATCCCGATCTACTAAACTTTGATCTTGATCTAGAACTTAAATTTTGCATGCACATCCATTTATAGATCCGGTAAAACTGTATGCAGACTGATAGTTCCTTGCCTCACACAGATGCACTCCAACTTGGAAGGTAAACACCCCTAATTAACCTCCTATGAGACACACTTGTTAAAGGGCAATGGGTCTATTCTCCCCCACCCTCTGAATGGGGTCCTGGAACCCACCCTGGGAACATTCTCAGATAAACACAGAAGAGGAAGGAGAAGATATCCCATAACATTCATCATCATCATCGTTCCGTACCACTGCGTGTCACTGTGTCACCAGTTGCTGCTGACTGTGTCTGATCAGCACCCCCCACCTTTGAAGGTCAGATGTGATGGACTTCATGGCTGCATGCCTAAGGCCTTTCCAGTCAGTGAAGTTCTGGTTTCAGGCTTTTCTTAGTTTGCAGTGGTACAGAAAGCTGACCGTTCAGCGGCAATGGGAAAACTAGTGAACGCAAATTTGCCTAGAAAAATAACAGCTACGAAAAATGCTGAGGTTGGCTCTGCGAGGTCCTGTAAAGGATATGCAACTTTGCTGAGGAGCAGAGAATTATTCTGTTTGCTCTCCCAAATATTCTGCCTTGGAACCCTCACAGGAAACACAGCAAGCAAGTTTATGAACTCAAACAATACGAGCCTCCCAAATATTCTGCCTTGGAACCCTCACAGGAAACACAGCAAGCAAGTTTATGAACTCAAACAATACGAGCCTCCCAAATATTCTGCCTTGGAACCCTCTCAGGAAACACAGCAAGCAAGTTTATGAACTCAAACAATACAAGCCTCCCAAATATTCTGCCTTGGAACCCTCACAGGAAACACAGCGAGCAAGTTTATGAACTCAAACAATACAAGCCTCCCAAATATTCTGCCTTGGAACCCTCACAGGAAACACAGCAAGCAAGTTTATGAACTCAAACAATACGAGCCTCCCAAATATTCTGCCTTGGAACCCTCACAGGAAACACAGCAAGTAAGTTTATGAACTCAAACAACACGAGCCTCCCAAATATTCTGCCTTGGAACCCTCACAGGAAACACAGCAAGCAAGTTTATGAACTCAAACAACACGAGCCTCCCAAATATTCTGCCTTGGAACCCTCTCAGGAAACACAGCAAGCAAGTTTATGAACTCAAACAACACGAGCCTCCCAAATATTCTGCCTTGGAACCCTCACAGGAAACACAGCAAGCAAGTTTATGAACTCAAACAATACGAGCCTCCCAAATATTCTGCCTTGGAACCCTCACAGGAAACACAGCAAGCAAGTTTATGAACTCAAACAATACGAGCCTCCCAAATATCTCACCTTTCTGGATGTGACTTCACAACGTAGCCAACGATGTCTGAATCTGTCACTGGATGGTTTTGATAGAAAGACTGAAAGATGTCCTGCAGAGATGTTGTCATCCACACCGTGATAGCTGGACTCATGCCTTGTGTCATGCGAGGCTGGAATAGTCACACAATTAAGAGCAGTTAAGCCTATAAATATTCCATGAAGACATTATGAAGACAGCTAATGAACATTTGTGAATAAGAAACTGCCTCAGTTATCTCCATGTTTCAGATCCATACAGGTGATGTCAGTGTTACACCAATGCTCCCTATAACCAGTGGAAAGTGGGTTTTAGCAGGAACTGGCAAGCCACGGCACCTGTGCTAGATATGGCACTGGGAATGATTTTCGATGAAACACTGTACAATTAGAGTATACATACAAAACATAACCTATAACCATAATGTCAACGATACCCCTTTCCCCACAACTCCAGGTACTGTTAGATTATCATCACAGATTATGACAGATAAGGACAAAAGGGATCAGTAGTGGCCTGGTTGTCCACAAAAATGCATACTACTTGTTTAAATGAAACTGTGTAATTTCACATTCTGACAGTAATAGTTACTATACTATACGCCAACCAAACACTTCAAATTAACATCATCATTAAGTGCCTTGCCAGCTGTTGTAGGCATTCATGCATCTCCACAGATCTTGGTCTTTGCTGTTCTGGCTCAATTCGGCTGATGATATTCCTTAATGTCCCTGTCTTAAGCCATCCACCATCATTTTTCTTGGTCTGCGTTTGCTTCTTCTACCAGTGATCTTTCCCGTCGTCACAATATTTTCCAGTGCTCCTTTTCTCATCACATGACCAAAGAACTTTGTCTCCTTTTCATTGTTGCATATAATGTTTTACTTTCATTAGCCATTTCCAGGTAATCATTATTTGTTATTCTGGGAGTCTAAGTTATTTACAGAATTCAACAAATCACCAAACAAAAAAAACAAAAATGCCTCAACCAATCACACAAACATTTCAAACCAACAAAACACATAGAAACGTCAAACCAATCAAGCGCATAGACATTTCAAACTAACCAATCGGAAAGACACTTCAAACCAACCAATCATACAAATACCCTAATGCGACCAGCGCACCATATAACTCTGCACCATGTTTGAAAACCCTGTCTGGCCATCACGCATACAGTAGATGCACAGTCCAATGGAGTCTGCCATCATCTTCATCCACAGCCTGTACATGTGGTTACCAAAATCTCCTTGTGCACCTGTGGGGAAAAACCATTTTCAAAATGTCACTTTCACAAAATCAACATACAAATCTGTCTTTAACAGAGAAATAATTCTTCTTCTTTGCGTTCACCGGCTGTAAATTCCAGCGGAATGTTCTGGTTGTTGGTCCACTTCTGGACTGCAGTCCTGTTCCAGAACCTGAATGTTGCATGTGCATCTGTTTGACATATCTGACTAATTTGTATGCAGACTGTTGGTTCCTCAGGCAGATGCACTCTGACTTCAAAGAAAGCGACTCTTATGACATGCTTTTGGGTAGGCAGTGGGTCTATTCTTGTTTTCCATATAATAGAGCCCCGGAACTCACACAGGGAAGAGCAATTATTGAAAGCTGTATTCAATACAGCCATTATGTGAAAATTCTTTCAGCTAACCCTTTCTACACATTTTTCTTCAATAAAGCCATTATTCAAATCTGTCTTAAACAGACCCATTTTATAATATAAACCTCTTAACAGATCCATTTATAAAATTTACTATTCAATAGGGGCGATGTATAATTAAATCTCATTTTGAACATAAACAAATCTTTATTTAACAGATCCATTGTACATGTTTTTTTTTTTTTTTCAAAATATCCATGATCAAAGTCTCATTGGGAGCCTGTGAAAAATATAATTACAAAACACCACACTGTTATAAAAACCTCCATATGAACCATGGATATGGATATAACATTAGATATTTTAGAATCCTCTATTTATGTAGGAGACAGAGCATAGACAGGTATGACCTGAGTGTTCTGACACCAAGCCTAGAGCTAAGGAAGACAGCACAGACAGGTATGACCTGAGTGTTCTGACACCAAGCCTAGAGCTAAGGGAGACAGCACAGACAGGTATGACCTGAGTGTTCTGACACCAAGCCTAGAGCTAAGGGAGACAGCACAGACAGGTATGACCTGAGTGTTCTGACACCAAGCCTAGAGCTAAGGAAGAGAGCACAGACAGGTATGACCTGAGTGTTCTGACACCAAGCCTAGAGCTAAGGAAGAGAGCACAGACAGGTATGACCTGAGTGTTCTAACACCAAGCCTAGAGCTAAGGTAGACAGCCCAGACAGGTATGACCTGAGTGTTCTGAAACCAAGCCTAGAGCTAAGGAAGACAGCATAGACAGGTATGACCTGAATGTTCTAATGCCACACCTACTTAATCAATCACAGAAAAAAACTATTAGTGATTAGTGAGGCTTATCACTAATCGTCAACATCGTCACAGCACTCTGGACAGATAAATAGGTGTTCATTCTCCTCAAAAGCTCTACAAATGCAAAACGACTGATGACCCAACGACTACCCTTACACAAGACCACAAAACAACCAGTGTCAAGTCTTACCTGCACTGTCTGAATGGATTGCTGTAAAAATGATAGTCAGATGAACCTTCAGACAGCTGCGCAGAGACTCGGCCAAGTCTAACCCATCTTTCAGTTCCACCAAACTCTGATGAGTGCACACAGATAAACAGTGTTAACAACAACATCTGGAGTCATCAAACAGGAAGACAAGGCCACCAAAACACATCAATGGAGACAAGTGATATCTGCAGCAATGAACCTCAAGGGCTCGGATTGGTGAAGTAGATCAACTCAGATGTATAGTGTACAGTTTTCTGTCTCTCTCTTAAAACCCTTACAATAAACAAGAGAGGTGACTAAGACAAGCAATGGTGAGCGCCCTCACATTGCTACTTTTCCTTTCCTGAATGCCCAATAAAATAAAGTTCCTTCGTTCCTCTTTTGCCCTTTAGCCCACACTGTAGAAAGGGCTCTCAGTCGGCTCAGTATAAGCCATATTTTTTTTTTACTTCTGTAGCTTTTTTCAAGCCAACCTTTCTTCTTCTTCGTTCAACCTCAAAAGGATGGTTGGTGCATATCCGATTTCACCAACTCCTATTTAATAACCTTTAACGACATGCTTCTTGAGGGGGGAGAGGTGACGGCAGACAAAGTGACATAATGTTTTATTAAATCTAATGTTGGCAAAAAATGTTTCTAGTTTATGATGCCGTCATCTCATTCTCGAGGAGCAGCTGACCGAGCAGTGAAAACATCGGCCTCTCATGTGGGAGACCCCCGGTAACGTGACAAGAGTGTTTCTGTCAGGGGCAAAATTAAACATCCTAACCTGCACAGTCCGTGGCAACAGCACTAGCCGGGCGGCTGTAAATCCTCAAGCTCAAGGGCCCCCCCCCCCCATCCCCGTCTACACAGCCCTAAAAAGTAGTAAAACAGACAGTAGTGACAGTTTATCTAATTCTTATGTAAGTAAAGTATAGGACCCTTTTCCACGCCTTGAGTCATACAAGGCTAGTATTTCATAGACCAGTTGGCACTTGGTGGGTGTCGTAATTCTTATGTTTTTCTCAAAAAAGTTGTCGGTCATCACCATGTTCTTGGGCTTTTTCCTTCTCATAAAATGAAAATCAACAACTGTAATTATATAACAGAAAGAGAACACGAGCAATAAAGGCACAGACAGACCCTTGCTGACTAGAGGGAGGGATCACGCCTCTCCAAAACAACCTGCAATCCTTAACAGCATGCATCAGTTTGTGTGTTGATACCCATCCAAGACATGAATAAAAACACTGTCAAGAATCTTTGAGCTGTCTTGCTCTGTCTCTTTTTTTCTACAGATTTTCCCAGTGCTCACAACATGCACCAGTTTCCTTCTTTTCATAATATGACCAAAAACGATGACCATCTATTTCTGATTTTTGTGATAAGTTGTCTGAGCCCTCACGCCTTTCAAAACACTTGGATTGCTCCTGGCTGTCCAAGTAATTTGAAGAATTCTTCTGTAAAATCCCATCTCCGAGGTCTTAACCCTACCAGACCGCTGGCCCCATTTTCCTGGAATTTCTTAACCTGACGCTATACCGCTGGCCTTATTTTTCTGCTTTTTTTGTGTAGTACGGGAAAACAATGAGTCACAGACTAAAAATAACTAGCCAATCGTAATCAGATCTCGTGGATAGTCTTCCTTGATGTCCGCCTGCATGAGTTTGGATACAATTTGTGTTGTTTTACGTGAAAAAATTCAGAAAATTCACAATAAAACAAGCGGCTGATGAACCAAGCACTTCGACAGGAAAGTAAAGTAGGTCTAAGCTTTTCACAGTCCACCAGGTGATCGATACTTTGCTTTATTCAGATTCTGAGGAGTCATGACTTCATGAAGAATACGTTCACAGTTAAAGTGACACCTTCAGCTCGAATTATGAGGAGAATCTCAAAAATTATAAATCTAGAAATCGATAGTAGGAGAAGGGGCAGGTCCTCAAACAGCAACATCTGGTGCTCACTTTGTGAAACACGGCTGATCCTGCTGAGTGGATTGGCACACAAAGGTGGAATATTGGCCCTAGATAAAAGGTAAGCCTATTTTCTATAATGTCTCCAAGTTTCATCTTATTCTAGCCCCTTGCTCAGGTCTAGGGGACAGTTAGGTTCAGGGCCTCAGGTCTAGGGGACAGTTAGGTTCAGGGCCTCAGGTCTAGGGGACAGTTAGGTTCAGGGCCTCAGGTCTAGGGGACAGTTAGGTTCAGGGCCTCAGGTCTGGTAGAGTTAAGAAATTGGCTTGTTTACTAATTTCCCAGAATTCACAGCCACATGTTAAAACCGGCTCTATAAAGAATTCTTGTTCTAATCTGCAATGACATGGAATCAGTCCACAGAATGTTCTTCAGTTGATAAAACTCCTTACCTGGAGGTGCTGAATCTCTGGGTACATGTCAGCCAGTGCTGCCTCCACAACTTGATCCACAGAGCCAAAGTGGGTCACCTGCCTCCTGACAAAAACCTGCAGGGGCTCGCGGAGCTGGTTGAGGACCCGCGTGTTGCCCATGAACAGTGAGAAGAGATCTGTCAGGCCCATGTGTGGGGCTACTGCTTCCAGTAGGGATATTATAACTGTCACGTCTGCAGAACAGAGAATGATCAACAACTATGGTTTCTCTCTCACGATAACACTGTCTGGGACTTCACATTACAGTGATCTAGATCAGAGTTGCTCAGCCTTTTCACACCCACGGCAGACTAAAACTGGGATAATTGTTTCGTGGCCCAACCGACAGCTAACCAAACACAGAAACAAACAAATGTAGATCACCACCATCAGTTTTTATGGTTCTATCTGAGCATACCCCATGTTATTTAGCCATCACTGAGGTATTTGCATGCTTCTTTACTATTCTACTGTACTGATTGTTCCCTTTTATCATCTGTACTTTCGTCTGTACTTTCTGTGTGTTATTATTTGTAACCCAAGTCTGTTTTTTTGCTCTATGTTTATCTAGGGCGTTCCTTATTCAGTTAATGATTCCTGAGTTTGGCTTTTTTTAAAATAAATTCCCCGGGCTGTGGAGATCCTGTCCCTGTTGATTCAAAGTCCTTAAAAGGAATGTTTCTGCCAACTGATAACCTTCCTTGTGTAGACAGCAGTTTGTTTTTTAAATATTCATTCATTCATTCAGTAGCATGTCCCTTGCGGAACCTCGCTGCCATAACAACCCTCCGGAAAACCTTCCTATCCTGAACAAGATGTCCTGCGTCTGATACACCCATCTGGAAATCATCAGCCACATCCTGCACCCATCTTCTCCTTGGCCTTCCTCTTCCTCTCTTCCCAGGCATATATCCCTCCATTATTGTTCTCTCTAGACTTCCATGACATTTCAAGTGACCAAAATATTTCAATTTTCTTTGTTTAATTGTCTTTACTAGCCAACCCTCTTCAATATTCAGCTCTTAAAGTATGGATGCATTTGTTCTTTTCTTTACCCAAGATATTCTTAGAACCTGTCTGTAACATTTATATTCAAATGCATTTATGCGCTGTTCCGCTTGTTTAGTAAGTGTCCAGGTCTCACAGGCGTATGTTGCAATGGGAAAGATGCATGCTCTTAAAAATCTGACCTTTGTAATTCTATCTTTTTAAATATGATGTCACAAAATTACAATTTTCTTCTAACAGGACATCTGCTGCTGCTCAGGGGTGAGAAAATTGGATACAAATGTTGGTGTCTAGGACAGATGAAGCACAGCAATATCATCCGTTTGATCACTAAAGTTTTGCTTTTTTTAAAACTAAAATGGCTTATAAAGTCTTCTCCCAGAAATGGGAAAATGAGGAAATAACTAACAATATTACAGCTCAGAGATGGCTGTTTTTCCGAGATATCCAAAACAATCATTACATATAATGTATGGACAAAACAGTGACATCAGAAGATAACGATAATCTATTTTGATATATGATGATTACGTGCGGTTGAATAGGGTTTTTAAGATTCATATCTATTTGATTCTCACACTTAAAGTGTTAATCCCATGCACTGCAGTCCTTAAAAAGGGAAAACTTAGTTACTACTCATGAAAGTCACCCCATCTCGTCAGCCTCAAAATTTCGTAGCAATTCCCACAGGCTGTCCTATGTTCTAGGAGTATTATGAGATGTCTACTTTTGTCACTAGTGGTGGCTGTCGTCGGTGGTTGTTGTGCTTAAAACATTCAAAACGAGGAACAGATGACACAAGATTACATACTTCAGTGATCAAGACTTCATACTTCATACTTCACTGACCAAGACTTCATACTTCACTGACCAAGACTTCAAGACAGGCCAGTATAACAAGACTACATGACACCAGCTAACCTCCACTAGTACGTCCGACACGAGTGAACAGGTCCGCCAAGGTCCACCCTGCTGAAGCTGCTGCAGGTTCTCTGTTGGCAGCTGGGTCGCTGGCGGTGCTAGGCAAAGGTGTGCTCTAAAATAACATGAACAGCAAAAATATTTATGTAACGTAACCTATCATCATCATGTGTAATGCTTCTCCCATGTGGGCTCCAGCACCACATTTGGGGAGGAAAACCAGAATAAACACATTGCCCGTCCCCCCCCCACCCCCCAAGCATGACATAAAAGGTAGTGGTGTAATCTTCAAAACTGGAGTGCATCTGCCTGAGATTTAAGTAGCCAACAGTCTGCATATAGATAATCAAGATCTGTAAAATGGATGTGCATGCAAAACTCACATTCTGGAACAAGACTAAAGCCCAGAAGTGGACGAACAACCAGAACTTTCCAGAAGAGTTTACAGCCAGTGAATGCCTGTAGTCATATGCTCCCCACGTGGGTTCCAGGGCTTCAGTGGAGGGGGTGGGGGGAACCAAGAACAGACCCACTGCCTTCCTAACAAGCATGTTGTAAGAGTAAACTAAATAGAGGCTTCCTTCAAAGTCGGAGTTGATCTGCCTGAGAGGCAAGGAACCAACAATATGCATATAATTAAGTCAGATCTGTTAAACAGATGTGCAGGCCACAACACCCAGGTTCTGAAACAAGACTAAAATCCAGAAGTGGACAAATCCCCCCACAACTCTGCCAGAGTTTACAGCCAGTGAACGCAAAGAAGATAGTCAGTAATATGCATGTGATCAGTATGGACAGTCAACGTTGCTCTCTTACATCTTCTTCTTGTTCTGCAAGGTTTATTCTCTTACATCTTTTGCATTCACCCATACAATTTCGGTTAACACATATTGTGTGTTGTGATTTACAGGCATACCACGACATCAGTGCCTGTCGGCCAAACAATTTCAGAAGCCCTTAAGTAGTCACCTTCTATGACATGTTGCTTAAAGGACAGTAGGTATATTGTTTAAAGTATATAATTACACTTGATAATTAGGGTATTGAATTAAGATTGGTGTACTGATCTCTATCATGCCACATGACCAAGCCACACACATATTTACATCTGTCTTCTGCAAGCACTTTTAACATCAACTTTATCAGCTGTCACTAAGTTATCAAGAAGTATTTATCTTTACACCATGAACAACAATCTTGAGTGTAGGTTGAATTTTTCTAATCAATTTATTGTCTTCTGTTTCTTGGAAAAACATTCATTTTTGTCCATCCATGGAATTCTTCACATTTTCCTCAGAAACCAAATTTACGTTGCCATTAGATGTTCCCCAACAAGTTGCATGACTAGAGCTTACATCAACGTACAATGACAAACAAAAAAGGAACCATTTCAACTGAAATACACAATTGTTGTTTGTCACACTGTCCTATGTTTATGTCTTCTGAAATATACAAATCACACTGTCTGTGGTCATACCCTACATCTCACCAATAGAAGTGTAAGATTAATCATGAGATCACAGTGGAAGGCTAAGGTTAATCAAGTGATACAGTGAAACAGGCAAGGCAATACATTATTGTGTTCTATCGACTTCTGAAATATACAGATCACATTGTTTCTTGTCATACTGTACATCTCACCAATTGAATAAGATTAATAAGATTAAAAAGTCTTTTTACACAGGTTACAAAAACACTTCCAAAATTCCATTCACCTAAATATTCTCATGCTTTATTTAATAAGCATTCATTCCAGGTGTTCCCACATGTTTAGGCAGATGCAAACAATACCAGTTGTGTGAGTTAGGCTTCTTCTGAACAAACCACTATAGCAAAGTCGGTAAAGCAACATTTAGGGGGAGCTGGACTCATCTAAGGGGGCAGTTTTGTGGCTTCTCTGGGCAACAGAATAGCGGGGCAGTGGGTGTGTTTTTCCTTGCCAAAATGGGGTTGTGGAGCCAACCTGAATTTTCTGTTATTAATTATTTAAATTCACAAAATACCGTACCTGGTCAACAAATGCCCGCAGAAGTCGGATGTGTCGGCCAAAAGATGCAAATATTGCAGCCATGCTGTAAACGGACAACGGAATTACATCTTCGGATGAACGCAGATTAAGAAATTCACAAAGGGGACAATTATGTTTTCAATACCTGTGGCTGTGGATTGGCTGGTGCAGACCCAGTCTGTCTGCCCAGTAAGTGGGTGAACATTTCCATGGGGTTGAGGGTTCCATACTGGGGTCTGAGGCCTGCAGCTGCTGTTGCTCTCAAGGGTGTGCTGGATGAAGAAGTGCTGACTGAAGTGGTGCTGCTGGTGCGGGTTCGATTCTCTCCATTTGCTGCAGCTGCAACTGTTGAACCAAAACATGTACTTATAATCAGATACGAGAGCAGTGATCAGGAAGAATTTACAAACAAAACCAGTTCAAATAATATAAAATGAAAGTAGCTCAAAAAAAGACGTATAAACACAACAATTATATAGACATATAAACAAAATGAGTATAAATCATACACCATACAGGAAAAATTAGCATGAGCCAGATGGACATTAAACAGATTAGCATAAATTATAGACACACAATCAACATTTGGATTTAAAAAAACCTGGCATAAACCTTACAGACAAAACTAGCATAAACCTTACAGACAAAACTAGCATAAACCGTGCAGTCATACAAACAAAACCAGCATAAACCTTACAGATAAAACTAGTATAAACCATACAAACAAAACTAGCATAAACCTTACAGACATACAAACAAAACTAGTGTAAACCATACAAACAAAATTAGCATAAACCATACAAACAAAATTAGCATAAACCTTACAAACAAAACTAGCATAAACCATACAAACAAAACTAGCATAAACCATACAGACATACAAACAAAACTAGCATAAACCTTACAGACATACAAACAAAACTAGCATAAACCTTACAGACATACAAACAAAACTAGCATAAACCTTACAGACATTCAAACAAAACTAGTATAAACCATACAAACAAAACTAGTATAAACCATACAAACAAAACTAGTATAAACCATACAAACAAAACTAGCATAAACTATACAGACAAAACTAGCATAAACCATGCAGACAAAGCTAGCAAACACCATACAATCAAAACCAGCATAAACCATACAGACAAATCTAGCATAAATGGTATATTACATATGATTCTGCAAGTTTATGTTGATGTCATCCTAAAAGTATATGTTGATGTGATCCCATGCTGGGTCTATATGTGATCCTGCAAGTTAATGTTTTGTTGATGTGATCATGCAAGTTTATGTTGATGCAATCCTATGTTAGGTCAATATGTGATCCTGCAAGTTTGTGCCAGTTCAGTATGTGATCCTGCAAGTTTGTGCCAGTTCAGTATGTGATCCTGCAAGTTTGTGCCAGTTCAGTATGTGATCCTGCAAGTTTGTGCCAGTTCAGTATGTGATCCTGCAAGTTTGTGCCAGTTCAGTATGTGATCCTGCAAGTTTGTGCCAGTTCAGTATGTGATCCTGCAAGTTTGTGCCAGTTCAGTATGTGATCCTGCAAGTTTGTGCCAGTTCAGTATGTGATCCTGCAAGTTTGTGCCAGTTCAGTATGTGATCCTGCAAGTTTGTGCCAGTTCAGTATGTGATCCTGCAAGTTTGTGCCAGTTCAGTATGTGATCCTGCAAGTTTACGCTAGGCCAACATGTGATCCTGCGAGTTTATGTTGATATGATCCTGCAAGTTTGTTGATGTGATCCTCACATACAATAGTTACCTTGCTCCATGATATCCCCCACCATCCCGGAAACCATAGTGCTTAAATTTGGGATCTGAGGATACAAAATAAATTTTCTGTTTATTTACACACACACAAAATTATAAACAAAAAACACTGCTGCTATATCAAAGTTTACATAATATATTAGCAAATCTAAACATTGGAAAAACATTTGGTATACATGAATTTGCGAGATGATATGCCTAAGAAAAGCCGCCAACCTGAGATTGAGTAAATAATGATACTATCAGACAAACTGTGGGAACGACACCTTGTACGGCATCTTCTGGCTGCTTCAACCACAGACATACAGTTGTGCTGTATAGTTTCTCTGATGTTATCTTCCCATTTTTTGTGGGTCTACCTCTGGCTCTACATCCTTCTCTTTTGGTACATGCTTTGTATGGTATAGCAGCAGAAGGCATTCTCTCCAAGTGGGCAAACCATCTGATTTGCTGTCTTTGTATGTAATTTAGAATTGGTTCGGTGCAGACTTTATCTTGTATGACCTCAATCCTGATTTTATCTCTTCTGGTCACTGCTACAGTCTTTCTCAAACACCTCATTTCCATGGTTACTAATTTTCTGTTATGTTTTATGGAGGATCATCTGTGAGAGTTGATTGAAAATACATGAGACAGAAGGTTGTGGATAGACATGACTACCAACGCCACAGTGCATGGACTTTTAAGAAGAAAAAGAGAAGTAATGGTGACACCAGCCAGGTGTAACCTGCAGTTCTATAAGATGAAGGACAGATGAGGAGAGCAAGGGGTGAGCTACATACACTGGCAAAGGACAAGGCTACCTGGTTATTCACTGTCAATTTTTCATAGGGAATAAATGACGGAGAGGAGGAAGAAGAAGAGTGAACATGTCTATCAAAACCAGTCACCCACTGCAAAGATTTACCTGTTCTGGAACCGGCTGCCCTCTAGACTGCGCCTGCATTGCACTGAAAGTCGCCAGTGCAGTCTGTGACGAGTAGTGAGGCGAGGAACAAGGGAGGTAAGGATCTACGTAACTCCGCCGCAGTGGCCCAGAAGCTGGAGCTCTGGGCTGCCCTGCCTGTGGCCTGGCTTGGCTAGGTGAACCAAACTGATGAAAACTGAAAGGTGGGTTGCGTGTCGCCCGGGCATTGGAGCTGGGGTCACTTGCTGTGCCGAAGCTGAAGATAAAAAAAAAAAAAATTAAGATGCGGATATGTGAGACAAGTTAAAGAAAATGTCCAACACAGATTAGTATTTTTTTAGTTACAGCCCTTACCTGCGGTACCTTTTTTCTGACTAATATTCATTTCCTGTATTGGCACATGTCTTAGAGCTTCAGCTGGCCAGACAGACATACAGGTTTTTCTTGGAGAGACCTCAGATGATTCTGTGTTTTCTTGTTTGTAAATGTAACATTGTCTATTCAATAAGCTGCTGATGAAGACTTTCTGGTCAATACGTTAACTTGTTGTATGTGACTATAATAATGTGAACCCGACTAGCTGTACTTTGTTTGGTTTGATATCTTTTCTTCAGAAAGAGACGGATGAATGGTGCAGCTGAAACCAGTAAAAATGAAGAACAAATCTATTACCCAAGCCACCCGAGAAGCGCAAGACAAATACAGAAAATCAGGACACTGGGCTACAACCTGGCATCAGTGAGATGACAAAAGAAGAAGGTATCTTTTTCATAATATGAGATAAGATAAATTCCTCTTCTCTCATTTGCCACCCAACACACTGATACCACTTTCAATTATGCCTGAATATATTTTGCAGTAGTCATGAGCCTACATTTATCCTGGTTAACAGACTTAGTGTCATCAACTGAAAAGAGAAGGCCAACCAGAAAGACGAATGAAGGCGGGTGATATTTGCAATAATGAACCTCAAGGGCTCAGAATGCTGAAGAATAAGAAAACAGACAGCTACTTCTGCGTATGGCTGATTTTTTATTTCAGCTCCAAAAAATTCATTTATCTGCTGTATCTGATAAGACGTTTACATGAAACTGGCGTGATACAACAAAATATGTCAGGCCATACATAAACTGTGCAATCTGGTGGTCTACGAGATCTTTGTTCCTCCTCTTCTTTGCATTCACCGGCTTCAAAATCCAGCGAAAAGTTCTGGTTGTTCGTCCACCTCTGGACTTTAGAATCTATTTGTATGCAGACTGTTGGTCCCTTTTCTCTCAGGCAGACGCACTCCGACTTCAAAGGAAGCCCTAATTAGTCGACTCCCACAACATGCTTATTTCTGAGACAGGTGGTCTATTCTTGTTTTCCCTACAATGGGGCCCCGGAAACCACACTGGGAAGATCTTTGTTCGAAGTAAAAAATGGGAACACTGCTGTGACTTTGTGGACCTTTGTAGTCAACATCTATGGCTGAGAGATTATGAACGGAGTGCCGTAATTCAAGCAAACTAGGTTCAATTTAGATGCAAGTGATTTGGCTGCAAACTGCTTTGCACTGATTTCGACAATTTTATGAGTGTTGATTTCCTTTACATTTAGAGTACATCCGTCTGAGAGGTGACGAACCAACAGTCTGCACACAAATCAGGAAAAATTCTGTAAAACGGATGTGCATGCACAACTCAAGTTCTGGAACAAGACCAAAGTCCAGCAGTCGAAAAACAACCAGGACTTTCTGCTAGAGTTTACTGGTAGTAAATACTGAACAGAAGAACGCTGATTGTTTAGAAAGCAATGGCAACCTACAGAACGTTAAATTGCCTAGCAAATCCACAAGCAGGCAAAAAATGCTAGGGCTGGTGTGTGGATGTTCTGTAAAAGATAGGTTTACAAGACAACAAACTTTAACTGACTGAAGCTACAATAAACAGAATGATGAGAAACTCACGTCAGTGGCACTGGATTTGTCCAGCTGAAGCCAGTGGGAAAAGAACTCCTACTTGTGCCACCAAAGTTGACAGTAGTCGCAGACGAAGTGGTGCTTGGGGTCGTTGTAGATGTTGCACTGGAAGGAGTGGTGCTTGGGGCTGCTGTTGCACTAGAAGTAGTGGTATTTGACTGATTTCCTGTGGAGGAGGTGGTGTTGTTGCTTGAGGATGCGTGTGAAACTGTGTTCAAACCTCCTGGTAATCCGATCCCTGTTGATGGAACAGACAGTTAAATATGACATCAATAAATAACCAGTTCAACTAATGGTAGGGTTGGGGGTTGGCTATCACATGCTAGGAAGAAAAGGAAAAAAAAACGTCCACAACAACCAACAAAAACAAGAACAAGTCTAAAAGAGAACATTAATTAACTAGTGCCTGCACAGAACAGAGTGAATTAGAGTCACTGATGGTGAGCTTTCGGAGAGAACTTAAATTCCAGTGAATCAAGAGGTGACACTCTGAGAAAACATGGGAATAACTAACAAGATTGTCTATATAGTGGAACCTGCCAAGGCATAGAAATAAAAGCAGATAAAAAAACATATGTAGAAGGGAGCTAGAGAGTAAAATTTAAAAGATGGGAAGAAATAGGGTGAGCTGCATGAGCTAGCAAGGATAGAACAACTTGGCATGAGCTGGTTGAGGGCCTATGCTCCATCGGTGGATAAAGGGTAGAAGAATCAGCTGGGTTATATCCATTGTGTGTTCTGTGACATAATCTGGGTGACCCCCCCCCAAAAAAAAAAGACCATTTGCATAATAACAACGATGACATAAAAGGGACTAATTAAGAGTCTGCTGGAATCGGAAAACCAGAATCACTTCTTCTTCTTCGCTGTCACCAGCTGTAAACTCTGGCGGAAAGTTCTGGTTGTTCATCCACTTCTGGACTGCAGTCCTGTTCCAAAACCTGAGTGTTGTGTGTGCATCTGTTTTACAGATCTGACTCATTTGTGTGCAGACTGCTGGTTCCTTGCCTCTCAGGCAGCTGCACTCCGACTTCGAAGGAAGCTCCCAATTAGTTGACTCTTACGACATGCTTTTGGGTAGGCAGTGGGTCTATTCTTGTTTTCCCTATAAACCAGAATCACTGATCAGGTTAGTATTTTTGCCTCACCTCATCCATGTCTTAGATATCTAGGCATTTATTTCTTTGCTTTCCAACTGTTCTCTATCCATCAATCTTGCCAGGCATCACTGAGGCCAATATTTCTCATAACATGTCAGAAAAACACTGATCGCCTCATGTCATCCATATGGCACGGCATGGCTATCAAAGCAGTGATCTTTTTGTCTTCCCTTGCTCTTTTCCTCAACCTTGTCAGGCACCACCGAGTTTACAAGTCCACTCCTTCTCATAACACATCCAAAAAAACAGAACAAACGTCTAAATTTCTCTAGTCATTTTACGGTTTTCATCTCGAAGAGGGCTGCCTCATGAAACAAATGAGCCACAAACACTAAGCCCCACTACGGCATTAAAATCAGACAAATGTTCTCCCCCTGTGGGTTCTACTGCCCAATTTTGGGAGGACAAAGAATGCACCCATTGCCATCTTCCCCCAACAAGCATGTTGTGAATGCATCCATTGTCATCTTCCCCCAACAAGCATGTTGTGAATGCATCCATTGCCATCTTCCCCCAACAAGCATATTGTGAATGCATCTATTGCCATCTTCCCCCAACAAGCATGTTGTGAATGCATCCATTGCCATCTTCCCCCAACAAGCATGTTGTGAATGCATCCATTGCCATCTTCCCCCAACAAGCATGTTGTTAAAGGTGACTAATTAGGGGTGTTTTCATCACAGTCAGAGGTCATTAGAACAAACTGTCTGCATACAATTAAGCCAGATCTGTCAAACAGATGTGCACACAACACTCAAGTTCTGGAGCCAGTCTACAGTCCTGAAGTGGACGAACAACCAGAACTTTCAGTCAGGAGTTTACAACAGGTGGTGAAGGCTAAGAAGCAGACATATTTACCAGCTAGAAACTGTTCTACAACAGCCTGCTGTTCTTCAGGGCCAAACTGTGCAGCTGCCGTTCTGGCTTCATCTCGGTTGTTCAGACGTTGTTGTATCAACTGGACACCATGCATAGTAGGTATATCTGCTGTCTGTGGCAGAATGTTCACCTGGATCTGTTGATCGGGTCCAATGCCTAGTCGAAAATTTAATAAATGGTCGCCTTTTAATTCACATGAGTTAAATGCAGTGAAGCTCTGAGCATGGAAACAAAACTGGGGAAAACACGAAGTATATGTTAGTTCTTCAGAACACAGAAGTATATGTTAGTTCTTCAGAACACAGAAGTATATGTTAGTTCTTCAGAACACAAGTCACCACTATCAGGTACCTTGTCACCAAGTGTGGCTTGTGGGGTCGGGGGCCTGCATGTGTGTGTGTGTGTGTGTGTGCACATGGCGGGAGGGAGGAGAGTAGACACATCAAGAGAGGCGGGGAACCTACAGCCTCCATGAAATTAGCCAGATCTGCAAAGCATGCAAATCGCAAGTTCTGCAACAAGACCGAAGTTCAGAAGTGGATGAACAACCAGAACTTTCAGCCAGTGGTCGCTAAGAAGAAATGCCCTGTCAACTCAGCGTGTGTGATTATGCCTTTCCACAACTTGTGACCAACAGCATCCAACAGTTTATGTACCAGCAGAAAGGCCCAAACCAGAATTTTCAGACTTAAAATGGGACACAACTTAGAGCCCAACTACTCTCAAAAGGCCTTGCTAACTCTTCCAAATGTGGTTGTGGAATAAGCCTGGCTAACTCTTCCACATGTGGTTGTGGTGTACCAAAGCAAACTTCACAAGATGGCTCACAGGACTGCCAGACTTAGAAGAAATTGTGCCTACAGGAGCAACCCTTTAAAACAAAATATATGGCAACAGGGAAGATCTGGCCACTGCAGCTGCTGACACTTCAAGACACTAGAGAACCGGCCAGCGCAGGACCAGACAGACTTGGCTGGCAAGCAGATCAAGAGAGGACAGGTAGCAATTCTATGCCAGTTTAAGGGGAGAGAGGACAGGTAGCAATTCTATGCCAGTTTAAGGGGAGAGAGGACAAGTAGCAATTCTATGCCAGTTTAAGGGGCCCATTATAGGGAAAATAAGAATAGACTCACAGCCTCCCCAACAAGTATGTTGTAAGAGTCGACTAACTGCAGCATCCAGCCAAGTCAGAGTGCATCTTTCTGAGAGGCAACAAACCAGTGGAAGTAAAGGCTACCAGCAAGATGATGACCATATCACCCCCAGTGTGTCAACTGATCTATAAAATATAGATCTAGCACCACGTGGTTAGTGTACTTAAAGGTGTGGAAAAGAGTTGTTTCCCTTTTGTTTTTTTTAAAAACTTTACTATAATTTTAAAGACATTTGTTGGGTGATGTTGTTGTCAGCATCAAGCCGGCCACCTTTAGTTCTCAGAACAACCAGAACCTTCTGCCGCAGTTTAAAGCCGGTTAACACGAAGAAGAAAAAGAAGAACAAACAGCAGCCAATGAAATAACAGCCCAAAAACAAGCTACAAAAACAACAAAAGCCTCTTGGGAAGCAGCCCTTCCCAGGAGGCGGTTAAACGTGATTATCTTCAACACTGAACTGACCTGAACAGTGAAGATCACCATCCCATTTATGACCCATATTTGAACAGACGCATGACAAATGATCACTGAGATCCCCCTGACTTTTGGTTGTAGAAAATCTTGACCGAACACATTACAGAAGACAATCAGAGGTCACTGTCGCAATCTACCCTGCTGATTACACTGTGTTCTGTAAAGTTCATGTTATGAAAAGGAAAAGACTGGGGATCTTGGTAACAACTGGTAAGACTGATTGAAAGAGAGCAAGAGGAAGGCAAAAAGATAAATACCTGGATGGCCCGGCCACATGGATGGGATGAGATAGAAACATTGAGCTGATTTGTGATTCGTGTGAGATGTCTACCAACACATGATGATGATGAGAAAGCTCACATACACTTCGTGTTTTTCATCTTTCTTCTAAGCTTAAATTCAACACACATCTGATAGCGGCTACTGATCAGACAAACTTACAAGCAGATTAACAAGAAAATAATTTTTCTTCAGTGATTTTCAGATAAGAAGGTCACAGGCCTCAATGAAATCTGTGTTGCGACCCCTGTCTTCCACCGATCCATACAGATCAGTTTCCATCCAGCTAAACCTGGGATCAGGTCTGTAGAACGTCATCCAGCCAAAACTGGGATCATGTCTGTAGCACATGTCATCCAGCCAAACCTGGGATCATGTCTGTAGCACATGTCATCCAGCCAAACATGGGATCATGTCTGTAGCACATGTCATCCAGCCAAACCTGGGATCATGTCTGAAGCACATGTCATCCAGCCAAACCTGGGATCATTTCTGTAGCACATGCCATCCAGCCAAACCTGGGATCATGTCTGTTGCACATGTCATCCAGCCAAACCTGGGATCATGTCTGTAGCATGTCATCCAGCCAATCCTGGGATCATGTCTGTAGCACATGCCATCCATTCAAACCTGGGATCTCATTTCTGTAGCACATGCCATTCAGCCAATCCTGGGATCATGTCTGTAGCACATGCCATCCAGCCAAACCTGGGATCTAATTTCTGTAGCACATGCCATTCAGCCAATCCTGGGATCATGTCTGTAGCACATGCCATCCAGCCAAACCTGGGATCATGTCTGTAGCACATGTCATCCTGCCAAACCTGGGATCATGTCTGTAGCACATGCCAACCAGCCAAACCTGGGATCATGTCTGTAGCACATGCCATGCATTCAAACCTGGGATCTCATTTCTGTAGCACATGCCATCCATTCAAACCTGGGATCTCATTTCTGTAGCACATGCCATCCAACCAAACCTGGGATCATTTCTGTAGGACATGTTCAGTATTCTGTAGGGCCTATCCCCCTAGGCAAAGTTCTGAATCCCCAATCTTGAGTTTTTTTGTTTGTTCATATGGCTGCAGAGTCTGTTGTGTCCAGTAAGCAATCTAAATAAAATGGTCTGTTTCTTTTGTGTGAGAAGGCTAACTGGGTTTTCATTTTTTTCTTTTTTTGTGTGTGGTAATTTTCCTAATAAGAGCATCAAGTATCTGGCTTTCTGTAGGACTTTTTTTAAGCTAAGCAGTCTGCTCTTTCATTTCCCTTATTGCTGCAGTGACCTGGGATTCACTGGTGCCCAGTCTGCTCTTTCATTTCTCTTATTGCTGCAGTGACCTGGGATTCACTGGTGCCCAGTCTGCTCTTTCATTTCCCTTATTGCTGCAGTGACCTGGGATTCACTGGTGCCCAGTCTGCTCTTTCATTTCCCTTATTGCTGCAGTGACCTGGGATTCACTGGTGCCCAGTCTGCTGGGTTAGGTGACCCATTTGATTTAGCATAAATCTAAACTTGTGGAATTGTAGCTGCTTATTTTGCATTGCCTGCAATACTGAGCAAGCTTCTGTCACTATAACCACTTTTGAGCTGCAATCATTTAGTGATACGGATACAGAAAAGAAGTGAGAACAATGGAAAGAACACGACAAACTAAGAAGATACAAAATGACTAGACATGAACAGATATTTGCTCAAGTCAATGATCCCGTTCACATCTTTGCTGCCTCATGCGTACAGTGCTAGATTCATATTTTTAATCAGCCGTAGGTTAAGGACTAGATGCACTCCTGTGGATCCGAAGGTCGTGGATTCACATCCAAACGGAGCCAGACCTTTTTAAAAAAAATGAGCATAGTCCCAGGTTGACCCAGCTTTGAATGGTTATAAGGCGAAATCCTGGGAAGTAAAGGCTACCGGCCTGCTGATGACCATATCACCCACTGAGTGCTGACTTATCTATAAAATATACATCTAGCATGGTCTTTATGGTCTTTGTACCTAAAGGCATGGAAAAAAAAGTCATTTACTTTTTTCATTTAAAGTATATTCTTTGAAGACATGTGACGGGTGAGACTTACAAAATAATGTTTCATAAGGAAAATATTAAACCATGTACAAATTCATAATGGTGGCCAAAAAAATACACAGTGAAAAGAAACACATCCTGTTAATAGCATAACCATAAAACCTACTCTCTGAAATCCACAAGGCAAAAGAATTGGAGGGAGATGTAAAAACAAATTAAGAAATTACGTACAGAGATAAATAATATACAGAGGACACTGGAGGAAGCTGCTAGAGATTGGTGTGACATGGCTCAGATGTTACACTCAATTCGAAAATTAAAAGCAGCAGCATGGCGGGGTGATTCTGATCACTTATGTGAGGGAAAGTTAAGGCCCCTGTGATGTGTATAACGAAATACTCTCTTGCTCACTTCAGGCGCCAGCTGGTTCTGTGCTGGTTTTAAAGATCTTCATGCAAGACTTCTGCCACATGTCCCCGTCGTGCACCATGGATAATGGTTGAAATGAGCACAAACTGAGTAGGCAGGGGATCTCAGAGTTGATAGTTCCCAGAAAACCTCTGGTTTTCACCAGTCCACCCCTAATACATGGGTGAGAACATCTATCAAAAACGGGACGATTACTGTAATCACACGCATTCAACATGTTTCTTCTCAGGCGCTCAGCACATCTGCAATCATTGTTTTTAAAAAAACTCCATACTCCCTTCCTGATTTTCCCTCTCCAACACAGTCCATGGCATCCTGTTCCCATAAACCCACCTCAATACCTGTATCATTTATGTCCTTCTAGTACAGGGGGATAAAATAGATGAACTTACCATGTGTGTTGAGAATTGATCCCACAATATTCTGAAACATGCCAGCAGGCAAGCCTGGAACATTGGGCATTTGCCCAGAGGCAAAAGTGGGCACTTCCCGAATGTTGATGGTACCCCCAGGACTAAAGATGAAAGCATGTGAATTTGTACCCGTGGAGGAGGTGAATGTTCCAGTGCTTGCAGTTGCAGGAGTCGCAGGTTGTGTTGATGCAGTCAATGAAGCTGTGGATGATGCACTTGCAGCGGGCGATGATGTAGTAGCTGTTGCTGGCAACGGATTCTCAGTATTTACTGAAGGTGTGATGGTGGTGATGGTTGCACTGATGCCATTATTATCAACGGAATCAGCACCTGTAACAAAATGACCAATACAAGTTTAACATAAACTGTAAATGTTTACATGGAGAACTAAATTGCAAATAAAACTCAAAAATTCATTAACTACTGGCTGCTCAGAAAAGAAGGAACCACATTGTATGACAAAATCACAAATGAAGAGATTTGGGAAACAAATTCCAGTGAATCAAGAGGTGAGGAAAAGATGCTAGCTTTGGATAGGACATACACTGAAAAACAATAAGTATCCTTGCACTGGAACCCACACGATCAAAGAAATAAATCCTTGTACTAGAACCAATGAGGTCACAGGAATAAATCCTTGCACTAGAACCAATGAGGTCAAAGGAATAAATCCTTGCACTAAAACCCAGAGAGTGAAAAGAGTACAGGCAGACAGGAAAACACATGGAAAAAAAGGATTAGAAAAAAGTGAAAAGGTAGGTAGGACATATGGTGAACAAAAACTTGACAAGAGGTGGTTAAGGGCATGTGCTCGTTTGGGAGAAAAAAACAAGCACAAGAGCTTTAACTATTTACATGCATCATGTTTGGTGTGAAAGTATTACTGTAACGTCCCCCTCTAAAAAATCTAAGGTCCCTTTAAAGCAACTTTTGGTAATCAGGATATATCCCATGATGCACCAGCTAAATGACATGACATCAGAGCCCAAAGTACCAACCAATGGATGAAGAGAGTCCGGTAGTGATGGCCTTCTGTCAGACCTACCCAACGTAACCTGCAAAGTTATAATTGGGCAGTCCAGTTGGAGGGAAATATGCACCAAGTTGTTAATTCTACTAGAATGAAAAAAAAAATCATTTGAGATTTGAATGGTGGGGCCCCTGTACCTTGCTTTAGGATTTGAATGGTGTGGCCCCTGCATCTTGCTTGAGGATTTGTATGGTGGGCCCCTGTACCTTGCTTTAGGATTTGAATGGTGGGCAATTGTACCTTGCTTTAGGATTTGAATGGTGGGGCCCCTGTACCTTGCTTTAGGATTTGAATGGTGGGGCCCCTGTACCTTGCTTTAGGATTTGAATGGTGGGCCCTTGTACCTTGCTTTAGGATTTGAATGGTGGGGCCCCTGTACCTTGCTTTAGGATTTGAATGGTGGGGCCCCTGTACCTTGCTTTAGGATTTGAATGGTGGGCCCCCGTACCTTGCTATAGGATTTGAATGGTGGGCCCCTGTACCTTGCTTGAGGATTTGAATGGTGGGGCCCCTGTACCTTGCTTGAGGACAGGAACACAGGAGATCATGTGACAACTACATGATAAAGAAGCCTGGACAATAAGCAATTAGGAGGTTGCTTATCTGGTAGTCAGGTAGTCCTAGTTTCAGCTTTCTAGAAAACGGATCACCCCATCTTTGCTCCGCTCCCGTGCTAACGAAAAACACAGAATGTTTATCACAGTCCCTTGTGGAAAGACTGTCAGACTACTGTCTCAGCATATCTAGCATTAAAGAATATGGTAGCCATCAGAAGTGCTAACACAAACAGTCCGACATTAGAAATGCAGTTCATCACTGATGGTAGCAGAAGTCACCAACAGATCTGCAACTGCCCATGCGATCAATTTTAATCACATACAGACACCACCAAAATTGCGATGACAGGTATCGCACCATTTTCTGAATCTACAATTCACACCACCACGTTGGTCACAGTCGAGAAAACATTCCAAATGAAATCCGCAGCTCACAGTGTCACGCCATGCATTCAACTCAGAAGCCGGGCGACGAAACTATATCAAGTCTACAAATGGAACAAAAATGCACCAGCCACCGTCCGGCAGAAGCAAAAAATTTGCCTCAGCTCCAAAGATAGTGGCCCGCCTAGCGTCCATTTTGACCGGAAAGTTGCTTATTACGGAAGTGTCGGCGTCTGAAGCTTAGGTGTTTCCAGCGCGCTACGTAATGCCGGTTCGATCCCAGCTGCGAATGGTTTGTCTTGTATTGTGGTACAGAGAGAAGACCGTTCAGGAAGCAATGGCAAACTACTGAATGAAAAATTTGTAAAAGTTGATGGCCTGGAAAAGTCTCACAGCAGCTGCTTTTTCGTAGCCAGCTCAGTCTTAATGCCTTAGTTTCGGCCTATTACAACTTCAAGGTATTTAAACTTGCTGACCTGCTCCAATGCATTCTGTCCCATCATGATCTGGTGTTTCTTCTCCTCTCTTGAGATCACCATGGTTTTAGTTTTGGAGATACTGATGGTCATCCCTCTCTTCTCAAGCTCTTCCTTCCAGACAAGTAAGTTGGACTGAAGGTGTGCCTCTGATTTCACTATCAGGGCCACATCATATGCAAATGCCAGCTATGATATACAGATTGGTCTCATCATGTAGTAACCTACCGAGTACCTTCTTTGTCTTCTCCTTACAGGTCTTGATGACATCATCCATCATAAGAATAAAGAGGTGAGGTGAGAGAATATGACTATCTAACATGGCTAGTGGTCTTAAATTCTTCTGACTTTTGGTCTGCTTTTCGTAAATTATTTTTGCAGCTTTTGAAGAAACTCTGTACTGCACTGATCAGGGGTGCTGGAGTGTTTTTACCTGCCAAGCAGTCCCAGAGCTTGCTCCAGGAAACCTTATCAAATAGCAACGTATCAGCCTGTTCATTTCCCAACCCACCTGCATACACAGTTTGAATTTTCATTAAGTTCCCTGTATGGGTTCCAGGACCCTGTTATAGGGAAAACAAAAACAGACCCACTGCCTACCCAAAAGCATGTCGTAGGAGTCGACTAACTGGGAGCTCCCTTCAAAGTCAGAGTGCATCTGCCTGAGAGGCAAGGAACCAGCAGTCTGCATACAAATGAGTCAGATCTGTAAAATGGATGCACATGCAACACTCAGGTTCTGGAACAGGACTGCAGTCCAAAAGTGGCTGAACAACCAGAACTTTCTGCCAGAGTTTACAGATGGTGAACGCAAAGAAAAAGATATTTCATTAAAAATGTCTACGTCTCTGGATATTGAAGGAGTTATAGGAGGTGCAAGAGGTAGCCAGCAGAGCTACAAAGTTTTCCACGCTCTGGGCCACATGCTACACAGTTTGAGTGATGTGGTTGTGGACATGGGGGCAGATTAGCCCAGACAGACTGTAGCCACTCCCTCTGCCCCGTTCCCTTTCCCTGGCATCTCCAGAATGCCTGGCACCACTAGTATGGCCATTCCATCCATGTGAGTAGTTAGGTGGGGTAATTGTTTCTGCTAATGTCATTGTGGTAATGAAACTTACTAGAATCAGAATCATCCTCAATGCCAGCTGCAGTGACTCGAATATCATGGACGGTAATCCCAGCTGGCAATACGTCTACCATGACATGAGGCTCTCCAGTAGTCGTCACATTCGGGGGCAAGGTCAGAGGTACAGGTGGCATCTGTTTTGGCAGGAGTGGAAACAAATAATGTAGTCAGAATCTTGTTTATACATTCATTCACGTTCCTGTTGCGACACTTATGCCACACAGGGCTCAGTCTATTTCACTATTCCCTTTTATCCTGTGCAATCACAGGATACCATAGATGGAATCCAGTCCAGCAGCTTTGGCCTCTTTTATCAACGTCTGCATCAAAATTTCTCTTGAACGTCTTCCTTTGCTCAATCCCTCTACTTCTCATTGCAGTGCCTGTTTAGTTTAGCCTGTTGATCTCTCCCAGAATGTGTCCAACACAGCATCCTCTTCTCTGTCTTATACAATAAATATTTAACTTCCAATTCCTTTTTCTCTTCTTCTACCATGTATCAAACAACCGAACAAACTTAATTTTTAAAGGGTCACAATGTAGTCATACAGGCCCCTATTACATTCAACCCTTCCAAACATCTTTCACACAGAAACTGTATTAATCTTTTAAGCACATTATAGTCATTTGAATACATATAACATGAATTTAAAAAAAACACACACACACACACAGACATATCCCCCCTAAAGAACTTACACAAAGCTGCCTACCCTTGACCTTCCCAATGTAAGTATCTAAGCCATTGTCCACTTAGTTTGATGTCAGTCACAGTTGGTTGACTTTTGCAGCAATTTTCTTTTTTCAACAGATAAGGTGGCGACTCCCCCTCCCCCTCAAATCATACCTTCAGTCACCCATTATAACATGCCCTACAAAGTTCAATGCTACTATTCTTTACTTTCCATTAGGCATTACATTCATAAAAACAAACCAAATTTTACAATACTAAATAAAAAACAGAAGAGCCATTCTTCTTCATCTGCATTCATTACGGTCTGAGATATCACTGGCCTCCATTCATCTCTGTCTTTCCAGTTGGCCACTCCAAGTGTCTGTAGGTCTGCAGATATCACTGGCCTCCATTCATCTCCGTCTTTCCAGTTGGCCACTCCAAGTGTCTGTAGGTCTGCAGATATCACTGGCCTCCATTCATCTCTGTCTTTCCAGTTGGCCACTCCAAGTGTCTGTAGGTCTGCAGATATCACTGGCCTCCATTCATCTCCGTCTTTCCAGTTGGCCACTCCAAGTGTCTGTAAGTCTGCATGTTTACTATCTCTCCATCTTTACATAGGAGCAATCTAAATTCTATTGTTGCAAGAGCAAAACCTCTTTAAAAAAAAATTGCACACAAAACTCATGCTGTTGCACACATAAATACACAAGTGTGTGTGTAAATATAGAGATAGACAAAGAGAGGGAGGACATAGAGAGAAAGAGGGAGATAAAGAGAGATAGAGGGTGGAAAAGGAGAGAGAGCAAAAAACGAATGTGCTGACACAATAACAGCTGTGCGACTGAACATACACACACACACACAAAGAAAAAAAAACAGGTAACAACAGTTGCATGTGCGAAGAGCTGAAGAGCAAATATGATGACAAGCAACAGGCCAGGCACCTGGAATGATCTTCTAGTGGGGTTGCTGATGAGGGGGATGTTGATGCCAGCCGGCGGTGGTGTACTAGAGCCACTGAAGCTGGCTGTTGCTGCCCCAGTGCTGGCAGTTGGCACTGTGGATGTACTGGTTGTTGAGGCAGTCGAGCTGGCTTGTCTGCGCCCATTGCTGTTGTGTCTGGCTCTCACATTCATCTGAAGACAAACCACATGAGCAGAAACATTATGTGATTAAACATTAAAACAGATATGATAATATACAGCACCAGACATCTATATTCTAATACAAATGAAGTACATGACAAAATACAGCATCAGACACCGATATAATAAAACATATGGCATACACATTAAAACAGATAAGACAATATACAAAAAGACACCTATGGGAGCAGTGGGTCTTAGGATAGGGGAGCAGTGGATCCTAGGGGAGCAGTGAGTCTTAAGGGAGCAGTGGGGTCTTAGGAGAGCAGTGGGGTCTTAGGAGAGCAGTGGGTCTACACCACCACCACCCCTCTATATGGCATCACACATCAATATAAGATATTACTGATTAAACTCTACCAGACCGCTGGCCCGCTATTACGGGAATTTCCTCATTCGCTTAACTGCTTTCCCTCAATGTTAGGAATTTGCGTACTACGTGAAAACAATGCGTCACAAACTAAAAATAACTAGCCAATTGTAATCAGACCTCGTGGATAGTCATTCCAGATGTCTGCCCGCATGTGTTTGGATTAAATGTGTGTTGTTTTGTGTGGAAAGATTCTGAAAATTTACAATGAAACGAGCGGCTGATGAACCAAGCACTTCAATAAAAAAAGGAAAGTAGGTCTAAGTTTTTCACAGTCCAACAGGTTATCGATACTTTGGTTTATTCAGAATCAGTGGGGCCCTAATATCATGAAGAATACGTTCACAGTTGAAATGACAGTCAATGAGAGCTCGAATGAGGAGGAAAATCTTAAAAATGATAAATCTAGAAATTGATCGATAGTAGGAAAAGGGGGCGTGTTCCTCAAACAGCAACATCTGGTGCTCACTTTGTGTAACAAGGCTGATCCTGCTGGGTGGATTGGCACTCAAAGGTGGAATATTGGCGCTAGATGAAAGGTAAGCCTTTTTTCTACAATGTCTCCAGGTTTCTTCTTATTCAAGCCACTTGCTTGCATGGAACTAATTTTTGTATATCCTGTTGGTTTTTTTGTATTAATGCCCAGGAGCTCAGGTATAAGGGGCAGTTAGGTTCAGGTCTGGTAGGGTTGAGAATCGACATCATAGCACACCGGGCATACCCAGAGATACTCCGTCTCCTGCAGTAAATGTCTAAAGGTGTAGATGCCAACTGTTCCTGTAGCACACTGATTATATACACGAGGTTCTCTTCGTTTCATATGTCCCTCTTTACAAAATCTAGTATTAATTCCCCGTTTACACATTCTTTCACGTTATTTTAATCTAATCTTGTGTCTTCGGTCAACATTCGTTCATATTTGGTCTTCAAAATATCTCCCGTGTCTAGCACAAGTGTTCCCCTAGCTTTTGTTATTGTTGTCACAAAATCCGCTCTTTCATTCCCCTCGACCTCCTGCAAATCTCTGACAGTATATCGACACGATTCCCTGCAATGTTGGCATACTGATGCATGGCATCAACTCACGCCAAAAATATGATTATATGACAAATATAAAAAACATTCCTGTGTGGGTTCCGGGGCCTTCATATAGGGAACATGAGAACAGACCCACTGCTGTAAGAGTCGACTAACTGGGAGCTTCCTTCGAAGTTCTGCCTGAGAGGTAAGGAACCAACAGTCTGCATACAAATTAGATCTGTAAAACAGATGCACATGCAACACTCAGGTTCTGGAACAGGACTGCAGTCCAAAAGTGGACGAACAACTAGAACTTTCCGTCGGAGTTTACAGCCGGTGAACGCGAAGAAGAAGATATTAAAACATACAAAATAACATATGGCATCAAACATCAATATTAGATTATGCGACATATGTTACAACATGCAAAATAAGAAATGGTATCAAACATCAATTTAAGATTATGTGACATATGAAAACATACAAAATAACATTCAGTTTCACATTAGCAGAAACAGTTACCCCACCTAACTACTCACATGGATAGGAATGGCCATACTAGTGGTGCCAGGCATTCCGGAGATGCCAGGGAAAGGGAACGGGGCAGAGGGAGTGGCTACAGCCTGTCTGGGCATATCTGCCCCCATGTCCACAACCACATCGCTCAAACTGTGTAGCATGTGGCCCAGAGCGTGGAAAACTTCTGTAGCTCTGCTGGCTACCTCTTGCACATCCTGTGACTCCTGCAATATACACAGACATACACATTTTAAACAAAAAATGAAATAGCACACAGTAATTAGGACAGATTATTAAATGAAATATTACACAGTAATAAGATAGATTATTCAATGAAATATCACTCAGTAATAATACAGATTATTAAATGAAATATCACTCAGTAATAATACAGATTATTAAATGAAATATCACTCAGTAATAATACAGATTATTAAATGAAATATCACACAGTAATTAGGGCAGATTATTCAATGAAACATCAAACAGTAAGACAGATTTTTTAATAAAACATCTATAGTAATTAGACAGCTTATTGGAATTAAACAAGAAAGGTTCACTTAGGAATAAATAAAACAATAATTTCAAAAGAAATGAAGGGTATCTGGCCAAGCAGGTAGAACACTGGTCCCTCATGTGAGAGACCCGGGTGTGAAATCTTGGCAAGGTGATAAGAGGTTATTCATGCCACAGGAAAAATTAAACATCCTAACCTAAACAGTCCATGCGACCCTAAATCTTCAGACCCAAGACCCCCCCCCCCCCCGATGTGAAGCTTTCAAAAATTGTAAATACAAGCTTTTATAATTTTATTTTTTTTAAATGAAAGAAAACGGAAGGAGTTCAAATGTAACATACTCTTGACATGGCTGGGTAGGCAACCTCGCTGCGGAGGATGTCCCTGTACAGTCGTATATGGGAGGCAACTCTTTCATTGGTGCTCAAAACCTGGTCCAGAAAGTTGGCCAAGTCTGCGGCCATCAAGCCTCTGAAAGACGAGGTGAGAGAGCATCAATAAACACCAAAGGTAGCTCTAAAAAGAAAGTCAGGGAAAATAATTCTTTAAACTGACTATTTAGTTAGTTTCATGTCCTTTGCTAGATGTCACAAGCCAATCTTACCATTTGTTGGTCGTTTGTTGCTTTACAGGACAATTTTAAGTTCAGCAGTTTTCCTTTCGGTGACAAACAGTTTCCTGAAAGGTTAAGAAAGCTTGGCTCTCATTTTGGAGATGTGATCCAGGTTCGATAAGGCGACAGGTATGTTTCTGTCTGGGGCAACAACAACAAAAACCTAACCTGCACTGTCCTTGCCATATGGCCCCTCCCCCACTGTACTATAAAAAAGTAAATACAGAAAGTAACGCATTATGAAAATAGTTTTTATGTAAATTGACTTTAAGTATACAAACTCAAATTTTAGGTCATTTGAACTCTCTTATCCAGAGAAAGCCAGTTTTCTGTCTTTAACGGGTTTTGGTTGATGTGATTGATGTCTTTGGACGGCACTGTATGACGGCTTTGGTATTGGCTGCAACTGCACAGTGTGTAGACAAAGTGAGTGTGATTTTCTTTACTAAAACTAGATGAAACAGTCAAACAAGAAAGAATATCAAAGCTGAACTCACAAAGCATCACCAGACACAGCCCCGGCTGGCTCTGAACCACTCTGAGCTGGTGATGGTCCAGCCTGCTCTCTAGACCCTGCACCGTTATGTGCCTCAGACCCGGCGGGATCTCTCTCTCTCTGACTGGACCCGTCTGCAACTGGTGAAACCTGCATGTCCTCAGTGACACCATCAGGGACGGTAGATGCAGCAGATGTGGATGCTGGTGTTTGCGAGCCTGACAGAGCTTGCGTAACACTGTTGTCAGATAGTGACCCCAACCTTTGCTGTAGACAATATCAAGAACAGGTCAAGGTTATTCAGTCATAGATATAGCTGCCAAGCTGTACCAATGCTATGGTAGTTCAAATATATATTAGTTTCCCCTGTGGGTTCCCAGGTCATCTCCCTTGTGGGTTCTCGGGCCACCTCCCTTGTGGGTTCCTGAGCCATCTCTCCTGTGGGTTCTCGGGCCACCTTCCTTGTGGGTTCCTGAGCCATCTCTCCTGTGGGTTCTCGGGCCACCTTCCTTGTGGGTTCCTGTGCCACCTCCCTTGTGGGTTTCTCAGTTCTATTTGTATGGGGGGGGGGGGGCAGAGGAGGAGACCCCCCGCCTCCAAACAACAGGTATGTCATTTAAAATCAACCAACACGGTTTCCTCTAAAGTCCGACTGCATCTAACTGAGAGGTGAGCAACCAGTCCAGAGGTAGCTGAACAACCACAGCTTTTTGAATGAGGTTAAAGATGACCCCCATAAAGGTGGACATAAGACAAAGAAGCATTGGCTATGAAAGCACACAGAGCTAGAGGATTGCTACAGACAGAGACTTTCAGGTGTGCCGTGACGAGTACAACCTGCTGCTGATGACTTACAGGCACATATTTTGCAGCTTTGCTGTAAAGTCACATTTATATTGGTTAAAGCTCCTCATAGGACCCCCTGGCCCCATTCTGGGGAGAAAAAGAAAAACCGCTTCTGCCTCCTAAAATGTAATTAATATGGGACAATTTCCTCTGCAGTCGGAACCCATCTGCGTAAGCCGCAAAGAACCAACAGTCTGCATAAAAGTAAGCCAGATCTGTAAAAAGGATGTGCACTCATAATTCAAGTTCTGGAACAAAACTACAGTCTAAAAGTGGACAGACAAATAGAACATGGAGAAAGTTTAAAAACAGCACTTGTCAACCAAATGGTGGAAGCCGTACAATAAACTCACGACCTTCACATGGCGAGGTTTGACCCTTTCAACGGGGATAAAAGAAGCAGAATAAATAACATACAATTAAAGTCAATGATACTGACAAGGTCAATAGTTTTAAACATACCCCTGTGGTGTGGGTTCCTGTGCCCCATGTGGTGTGGGTTCCTGGGCCCCATTGTGGGGAAAACAAGAAGAGACTGCATCTCCCAAGAAGCATGTCATAAGAGTCAAATAATGGGAACTTCCTTCGGAGTCAGAGTGCATTTGCCTGAGAGGCAAGGAACCTACAGTCTGCATACAGATAAGTCAGACCTGTAAAATGGATGTGCACGCAACGCTCAGGTCCTGGAACAAAGACTAAAGTGGAGGTGGACGAATATCCAGAACTTTTTGCTGGAGTTTACAGCCGGTGAACATGAAGAAGTAGTTTTTGAAACAGAATGTAAATTGAGGTGACGAAAGTAATAAGGAACAATGAAAGCAAGCCATGAATTAATATGATAAAGTGACAATTACAAATTTAAAATTTAAGAGACTAAAGTAAACAACTGTAACAATGAAGGAAAGACAATGTTTTAATACTAAAGTTATTAATTAATTTAATAACAAAGTGACTGAAATAACAGCACAAAATGAAGTGATGGAATTAATGGTGTACAAAGTGACAAACAGCTCATAGTCAAAAAATTATTTTAAAAGTGACAGAATTATTTTTATAAAGGTTCAGGAACTGAAAAATTGTACCAATGAAGTTACTGAAAATGAGACAAGACTGTAAATATGAAGTAAGCAGAGTAAGTTTAAGTAATACAAAACATATTAAGAAATAGACAAATCTCACCTCCAACTGAGTAAGAACGTCGTTGACAAGTCGTAAATTAAAATCTGCCTGTCGGAGCCTAGCCCTGGCTTCTCGTGTGGTCGGCGTGTTCTGAACCCGCCCTAGATGTATTTGCACATCAAGGAGGTTACCATCCTACACACAAAGACATGAAACGTATGTAAGCACAGTTGTGTAAGTGTTAAATTAAGCTAAAAATGACAGTTATTACATCTAGAATGACACAATTAGACATTACATCTAGACATATATAGAATGACATAGCCATGACACAGCTAGTAATGACATCTAGAAACCCAGCCATGAAAATTAGACATGACATCAAGACATTACACCTATAGACACGACACATCCAGACATGATATCTAGAAACCCAACCATGATCTCCAGACATGACAATTAGACATGACATCAAGACATTACACCTATAGACACAACACATCCGGACATGACACAGCTAGTAATGACATCTAGAAACCCAGCCATGATCTCCAGACATGACAATTAGACATTACACCTATAGACACGACACATCCAGACATGACATCTAGAAACCCAGCCATGATCTCCAGACATGACAATTAGACATTACATTTATAGATACGACATCAAGACATGACACATCTAAACATGATGCAGCTAGACCCATATTTATATAGACCAATCAACACCCTATAGGTAATATGGCCAACATCATTACAATGGCCTTTACTTCCCTGGATATTTTCTTGGAACAAAGAAACAATGATATTTGGCCACTGTTTAGAATGGGTATTAAACGAGGACTAGTATGCAGGAACCAGTTGCGGGACAAAGACATAAGCTATGCCAGTCAACTCCTGCTGGATAAGTTGAGAATGACGACAGAGATGGCTGGTACATGGGTGCAGCAGCATGAAAGGTTGGATTTATGTGCCGGAAGGTTGGATCTATGTGCCAGAAGGTCGGATCTATGTCCTGGAAGGCCGGATCTATATGCTGGAATGTTGATACATGGTAACAAGTAACATAGTTATGTTTCCTTCTGTGTTGTTGCTTTTTTTGTCAGACACCTGAATAATAAAAAGTAAGAAAGCAAAAAAGACAACACTCCTTACACACACACACACAAATTCGCCTACCAAAGGGTTGTGAGGTCTGTCTGGTGAAGATGCAGAAGCAGACGCAGCTGTAGAAGTGAGGTTGCCCGAGGCTGAAGCTGTGGTTGGAGGGGCTCTCTGCACTAAGTGAATCACTTTGCCATGAATATCTGAAAACAAACAGTAGTTTTGTCGATGTAAATACATTACCATGGCAGATAATCTTACAGAAATTAGCATGAATAATCACAGCCTCCCCAAGCGATATCCAACTACATACTAATGTGGTCTCAGGCTGGAAGTCTTCAACTGCACAGCCAACATATGTTTCTCTCTCCTGCTTGTTGATGTATATCTGATCTTTTCATAGGTTCAAGATAATTCCTTATGATGCAACTGCATGTTGCAGTAAAACAACACCTTACTATTCACCGACCGACTCTTTTGACAACTTTGAATGAACAAGTTTTTTCTCCCTTGTTCTTTCAGTTTTGCTGGTACCACACCCGCATCAAATATTCTGAACTCTTTTGGTACAGGAGGACAGTTAATTATAAATTAACACAGGATATGTTTCCATGGTAAATGTAAAGAACCTTTTTCCACGCCTTCAGGGCAATTGGGCATACAGAGACAGGCCTACATTTCATAGACCAACTCGTACTTTGTAGGTGCTGTCGTCAGTATAACACCGGCCAGCTTTACTTCCCAGAACTTCACCCTGGTACCCATTTCTGGATGAACAACCAGAAATTCCTGCCAGAGTTTACAGCTGCTGAATCAAAGAAGCAGTAGCAGTTGGCCATATTTCACATCCATTCAACAGTATCCAAACTTGCGTAGAAGATGCAGGTTTGGTTTCAGACCCTGTTGTTCGGTTTCCAAGACTGAGTGTTTCAGATATCCCCTGAGGTTGTCACCGGAGCTATGGAATTCAAGTGATGTGCCATGCACGTTTTCTTAGTTTCCCCGTGGAGACAGACTGAGCCAGACGGGATACATTTGGGTGCAATGAAGTTAATTTCTTACAGTTAAAAACCTTTTAAACTGCAGCATATATATACACACACACTTTTTTCCCTAAGCTTAAAATATTTATATTGTGAACCGGACATGACAAACTTTGCATTCCTGTATACAGTAAATTTGAGGTGTGGGGACTTGGAACTTTGTTTAAGTGAAAAGGCACCCCAGAACACTGAACATGTACTGTATATCAGGATGTATGGATCAGTGGAAGACAGGTGCCCCACCACAGCCTTCCTAGAGGCATATATCCTTATCTAAAAACCACAGCCATGGACAATGAAAAGAGGTTTAGCTTGGTTTTAGCTATATTCCTTGTTTCTTCCACAAATTTTTCAGTGCAGTGAAAGCTCTTCTTTGCCTTTTGCATTGATATCCCTGTCGCGTGCGGATGTGCAATAGAACGCACCGGTACTGAGTGAGCAAATAGGACATCAAAACAATACGTAACGCCATGAAGGTATTTTTGTCAAAGGCAGCTGATGTTTACAGTCCGAAGGAGACGGATGTGTGAATTCCTGAGGACGCTTTACCCCGGGATTCCACGGAAGCAGACGTTGTATACAGTTGGATCCTTGAGGACGTTTTACCCCAAGACTCCACTATAAACCTCAGCAGAAAGCTGGTATATTGTCACAGTTCGGCAGTAAGCCGGTATACTTCTATTACCTTAAAAAGAAAAGATAGAGATGACTGTCTGGATCTCAAGGTCGGACTGCAACCCGTCGTGAGAATTTTATCAGTCCATGGATGTACGAGCGGGCTTGTGTTGGTGTGTTTGGATGAGTCTGGATTATTAATTGCATATTTTCTCCTCTGTTGATCATTGTATATATCAATACACCCGTTGGAACCTTTAAAGGGAGTTCTCGTTCCGCTACGTTTGGAAGCTTCAACATTCATTATGTTGTGTTACACTTGGCCAGTGGCATATTAAGTTGTTGATGCCATTTGTTACATTGTGATGCCCTTATTCACCTTTGGTACGTCGCACATCACCACACAGCCTTTACAGCACGTCACACTGTATGCCAAGCTTTCGCTCGTCACAATGCCCCACCCCCCCCCCCCCATTATTTTGTAAAGATGTACAAACTATAAAGTCTCAAACATATAACATGACTTTAGACAGCCATGTCAGACTGACCATAATCCTTGAGAACCTTGTCATCCTGCATAACTCGTCCTTGGAAGATCAGTCTCTGATTGTCTGCTGGAACTTCCTGTTTGAAGAAAATTCAAGATAATCTGAATAAATGTGCATAGAAATCTCTTCTATGTTCCTTTTTTAATGTTTGTCTATCCATCTGAGATGCCAGATTTTAATTAAAGTATCATTTTATCGTAATAACTGGGCTGAGAGATGCATTAGGAAACTGTAAAGTGTAGGTTGAGAAGGCTGCTTTCATGATTAAACAGTAAAATGTGAAAACCCACATCATAAAAATTGTAAGCATGCATAAATTTATGTGACATGTAAATAAATTCATGCCACTCGTATTGTATGTGTACATCTCTCCTTGGAAAATCACCTCATCTGCAACCGAGGTGTCTCAACCCAGCAGGGATTAATGTACAGCTTTCTTATCTAAGAGACATTACTCTTGTCTTTCAAAGTGAGGATTATTTACCCATGTACAGGAGCTCCCAGAGTTATGTCCCATCTAACAGGTCTTTATGTCAAGTTTACATTTTTAGCAATATTTTATTCCAATGGTTGATATCGTTAGGCAGTGTTGCCAGATCTGAAGATTAAAAAGTAGCAAGTGGGCTCTAAAAGTAGCAGATTTGAGCTATATGTAAACCAACATGCATTTTTATTCAAGAAATAAGCTTGTGTGTTCTCCACCCCCCCCCCCCCCCCCCCCCAGTGCATCAGTAACAGTTTTCTATCACTTGTCAAAGCAAATCATTTAAAGGCAGGGCGACTCATATTTGCACAGAGATGTAGCGACTCGTAGTCCAACCTGGCAGAAGTGGGGCAAGGAAGTGACAGACATATGGTTCCAAACAGTCTGCCATATGCGGCAGGGTCAAACAGATTTTCATGTCTAGACCCTGCTGCATTCTAGGCATTAGTTCCGGAAACTTTTTCACATACCAAGGTAGTTAGTTATCTTTAATGATTTATTGTTTGTGTGCGTGTGATCGTAAGTAAGGATGGTAGAAGTTGTGTAGGTCTATGTCGAGGAGAAGGTGTAATTGTTTTCATTCCCTCTTATGGCTTGGAAATCTGTTTCTTCCCTGGCTGGCTGCTAGCTCAGCATCACAAGTCACTGGCAGCTGAGCCTGTGCCCTGGACAAGTGTGCACACAAACCTTTACGTGAAACACACAATTTACACGTGAAACACACAATTTATACGTGAAACACACAAACCTTACGTGAAACACACAAACCCATACGTGAAACACACAAACCTATACATGAAACACACAAACCCATACGTGAAACACGCAAACCTTTACTTAAAACACACAAACCATACGTGAAACACAAACCTTACGTGAAACACACAAACCTTACGTGAAACACACAAACCCACACGTGAAACACACAAACCTATACATGAAACACACAAACCCATACGTGAAACACGCAAACCTTTACTTAAAACACACAAACCATACGTGAAACACAAACCTTACGTGAAACACACAAACCTTACATGAAACACACAAACCTTAAGCGAAACACACAAACCTGACGTGAAACAACAACTACAAGATACTCACCACATTGGTGCTGATCTTTTCTTTAAACTGTCGCACATTTAACTGTGGAAAAAATACAGCAAGAGTTTGAAAACTGTTAAAATCACTGATTTTCCCGGGTCCCAATTTGTGGGGGCGGGGGGGGGGGGGGGGGCAGAGAATAGACCCAGGGCCCCATAAGGGGCATGTCATAAAAGGCAACTAGCCAAGGATGTACTGGCACCAGATGTGTTGGACCAAAAAGTGAATATTCCTGCCTAGCTGTAAATCCCAAAACAATATGCCGAATGCCATTGTAAGACTGAACACAGAAAAAGAAAATCATTGGTTATGCTTAACTTGCATCCTATTAAATGGATGAAGTCTAACAACTTTTCAGGTCTAATGACATCTACATCAAAGTTGCCAACTTTCCTTGTCCTTTCTTGCTTGAAATGAGCGTACTTTGTGTCCCGTTTAATTCAACGGTTAAATGTTCTATCCAGACCAAGCCCCAACCACATTCGTTTCTCTCGGTCATGAATATCACAATATGAATGACCCATCTTAGATTCTCGGAGGAAGTGCTGGTACAGTTGAACAGTAACCTTCTGCTTAGTTATAAATTTGCATCTCAAATTCATATTGAAGTTGATGTCTACGTCAGCTAGTTTTTCAAGCTAGCTTGTGTCATTTATGACACAATGTCAGCTCTGTGGCTAAGTCGATGCGAACACTTCATAATGCCGGGATCGATCCCAGCTACGGGCCACGCACCTTGCATTGGTTTCGACAGTGGTATCAAGAAAGCGGACTGCCCAGAAAGCAATGGCAAACTACTGGACATAAATTTGCCTAGAAAAACCACACAATAACCAGGGGCTGTTGGGGTTGGTTCTGCAACGTCCTGTAAAGGATTCGCAACTAACCTTGTGACACAATAAATCAAAACTAATTTGTGGATGCTCCTTTGACTACACAACCTTGACCAACACCTTATTTTGACTTCCGGTCACTAAAAGTGTGACTCTGCATGAGAAAATCATGAAAATGCATAGGCTTTTGAGAAAATAGCTTGCATGTGTTTATCTATTGTTAAACGAACTATAGATACTGAACCCCATTCAAGTTCAATGGGGTGTGTGCTAACACTAGAGACTGAACCCCATAAAAGTGTGTGTGTGTGCCAGTACTAGAGACTGAGCCCCATAAAAGTGTAATGGTGTATGTGCCAGTACTAGAGACTGAACCCCATAAAAGTGTAATGGTGTGTGTGTGCCAGTACTTGAGACTGAACCCCATACAACTGTTATGGTGTGTGTGATAGTACTACAGACTGAACCCCATACAACTGTTATGGTGTGTGTGATAGTACTATAGACCGAACCTCATACATCTGATATGGCGTGTTAGTATACTCTCAATACACTATTATGGCTTTAACAAAGTGAAGCAGATAATGCAACTATATGAAATCAGTGAAATGTTCTACACAAATAGCCAGACAACAAATGTCATTAAAGTGGGATGCATTGGTTGAAATAGCACAGCCTTGCTATTACTATAGCATCAAGCAGCAATAGATTCAACTCTCTGAGTCCCAAGGAACGCATCAAATGTTCCTACCTAGAAGCCCAATGAGCACAAGAAGCATCAATTTTACATCTCTTTTGACTACCCCTTGGGCCTCTGATGCTAAACCCCCCCCCCTGGGACTCGAGAAGTTAAAAATAATATTTCAAGTTCCTACCTTTTCTGGAACACTGAAAGTTCGATTCTGTCCGTCCAGGGTTTTCACTGTGATGTCAATTAGAGCACCCTGACTTGATGCCATGACTCTTGCTTCAATCAGTTTAACGCACAAATCTGTTGCAGGCGGAGAAAAAAAATGACACAGAAATCTTCAAACAGTGAAATCTTTTTAAAGTCTATTTCTATGACAGATAATGTTGTCTGAGTGTGGAACATCAGGGCTTCACAACATAGTCAGTTTCTTTCAATTTAGGCACAAGATCAACAACTATTATAACTTCATTTCCCATTTTGTAAACATGGCACCTGATCCAAGGTAAAGGTAGTACGGCCAATAACATACTACTGGTACTATGTTGCAGTCTGCTATAATTTATAATTAAAAATGAAAGGTTTCCATCTCAACTGGCATCTGACTTAATTCTATTTACTTTTAAATCAAAATATTTTAGAATAAATGTTCACATTTCTCTATAATTTATTTTAATATCACATATGAATTTTCAAGATACTGAGGATACTATTTTTACATCACAATATTTACAACTGACAGCATACAAAGTCAAATCAAAAGTTTACCAAAACTTTGATGATCCTAGCGACTACGTTGTTCGGCAATTTGCGGTCTTTTTGGCAATTTCCATTACCATAGAAACCGTTCGAAACTTGTTTCAAAAATGTCGGCTGGGGTTTCGGGATGGGTCCCAATCTCTCATGAAATTTTGCGATTGGTGTGATTTTCACCCACTATAAATGGCTGAAAACGGCGGGAACGAACCCGATTAACAGCTCATGTCTACAACAGCCGGATGCCCTCTGTTTTTCTGTTACATCAGTTTGATTAAAAATAGCGTTAAGTATTCGAGGTTGGCTTTAGGCTTTAACATTACTCGTACTGGTAATGCAAGTTATAATTGAATTCTCCGTCCAATTTTACATTTGTATATAAAATTTCTTTCTTATCAGTGGCTTTTTAGATTTACAGTGACATTTTTTAGGAAATCGCTAATTATCATTAATTATCATAGAGGAAAATAGCGGTAAATTTGAGGTTGGCTTTAGACTTTAGCATTACTCGTACTGGTAATGCTAGTTATAATTGAATTCTCCGTCCAATTTTACATTTGTAAATAAAATTTCTTTCTTATGAGTGGCTTTTTAAATTTACAGTGACATTTTTTAGGCAATCGGTATGTGGCTGTGTCTCCATTGTCTGCCATCTTGTCCAATGTCAACAAAGCCAAAACAGAAGTGCGCAGTCTGGTTGCGCAGAGAAACTTCTTGTTTCCGGGTCGCAAGTTTTCAACAGCTGTTTTTTACATCTCATCTCCACAAAAACCTACATATCTCAGCTCAGAAATGACATACAAGCCTAAATGAGGTACCGTTGGAAAGAGATTGTTTACAGCTATCTAACTGTGCTGGTTTTATTGGTGTAGAGGGCATTTTGAAAATTTGACTAAAGTACCTAGATGATCCACTACTGACGCAGAAACTTCAGAGGGATAAAGTTGTAGGACAAATTATCAGCACCACCCAACAATATTGGTCTGGTATTTTCTTTTAAAGGTTGAGAAACGAACTATTTCTACAATTTTCAAACACTGAAACAAAAGCTGGGAAGAGAATTTCAACTGAGCAGGGATGATTTCAGATCACAATCAACAAAACAAAGACAAGGGCTTACAAGGGCTAAGGTAGGAACCTTCGATATAGATGTCATCTATAATATCAGTAACTAAAGTACTTCTAACGATCGAATTCAGCTTACTCTGAAGCAGTGTATTAGCTGAAGATGACAAGACGCAGCCTGTTGTGACAGAATTCGGTTGTGGAAATGAGTTAACAAACTATAGTAGCCTACGCCAACCTCAGTCAGACGGACATTTGTTTGTGAACAACTTCCGGCTCTCTCCCGAGGAAGTCGTGACTATCGTGTCGTACACGGGGTAAGATATTGACCGCTGCAGGGTGTGGTCACACAAATGGATTAACCATTTTTTTAATGGTTTTTATCATGGAATCAAGGCCGAAGGGTTGCGATATCCATAATACCGAGCCTAAGGGTTAACAACTCATGGCTTATAGATACTAAAAAAAAACTTATAGACAAGACATCGATGTTTTTAAGATACATACAGTTACATATGAAGCGACTGAGCGCGCCCTGGCTCGGTTGCCGATCATCTGATAGACTGCGACGCCTAGCGGCACAAGCAGATTCTGACAAAAGAAGAAGAAGAAGATACAGTTACAAAATATGCCAGCAATATCAAACATTGGGCACAGCAGTCTTCTTTTGTCAAAATCTGCTTGTGCCGCTAGGCGTCGCAGTCTATTAGATGATCGGCAACCGAGCCAGGGCGCGCTCAGTCGCTTCATATGCCGTGATGTTATGAAGTCTCAAGTTGTCCGTGACTCCTTCAATCCATTTTCTTCTTGGTCTTCCCCTGCCTCTTGGTGTTTCGATTTTCATGTTGTATGCTCTTGATGCTGGCATCGTTGGTTCCATTCTCATTAGGTGACCAAACCATTTCATTCTTTGCTTCTCAATAAATTTAACGATGGGTATGGTCCCAATAGTTCTTGTAATCACATCGTTTCTCACTCGATCTCTTCTGGTTTTATTCGCAGCCATTCTCAAACATCTCATTTCACAGGTGGTTAGTCTTCTCTCGTGTTCTTTTGTTAATGCCCAAGTCTGACATTGATAACCTAATGTCAATATAAAGATTGTATTTATAATTTGTCTTTTTATCTCAGCTAGGACAGCAGGGTGTTTTAAAATTGGGGCAAGCTGGTCTGCGACATTGTTGGCTTGTTGGATTCTTGCTTCGATCTCTCTGTCTATTTTACCATTGAATGTAAAGATACTTCCCAAGTATTTAAATTCTTGCACTTGTTTTAGGCTGTGATCAAGAATCTTTATGTCGATGGTCTGTTGCTCTCTGCTTATGCTCATGACTTCTGTCTTTTCAGTATTGATCTTCATATGATGCTTGAGGCAACTGTCGTGTAGTAGGTTTATGTGGTCTTGCAGCTGTTTACTATCACTGTGAAATAATCATTGATCGTCGGCAAAGAGCAGCTCATTGAAGTCCTCCTGTTTATAGACATCTGTTGGTGTTATGTCTATTTTATTAATATTGTCCATAAATATTATGAAAAGTAAAGGTGATAATACACAACCTTTTCTTACTCCTGATGTTACTGGGAACAAGTCTGTGATGCCAGCTCTTGTTCTAATGGCGCTTTCACTTTGTCTATAAATAGCCCTCACACAATCTAAAATTGTTCCATTTATACCGTAGTTTTCAAGAACTTTCCATAATAAATTTATGTTTACTCTATCGAAAGCTTTTTCTTGATCTATGAAAGCGATGTTCATTTGATGTCTGTGTTCTATTGTCTTTTCGCTAACTTGTCTTAAAGCAAAAATAGCGTCAGTACACCCTCTTCCTTTCCTATATCCGACCTGTGATGGGCTCAGGATCGGTTCTACAACGGATCTAATTCGTTGTTCCAGAATTTTGGCACATTTTCCCTACGTGGCTTAGAAGGGAGATGCCTCTGTAATTGTTACAATCTTGCTTATTGCCTTTTCTTTTCCAAATTGGGACTATAAGGGCTCTTTGCCAGTCTATTGGTACAGTTCTTTCATTCCAGGCTTTCCTAAATATGTGGAGTAGCCAGGTGACTCCAATTTCTGTATTGCCTCGGCTGATATTCCATCAACACCTGATGCCTTATTTTTGGGGCTGCATCTGATTGCTTCTCTGACTTATTGTTCGATTATTGTAGGCTGTTCCTCGTTTGTACATCTGGATGTGAATGGTACTGTTTCCTCATTTCCTGTGTTACATTCAGAAGAGTCTGAAAATATTCTTTCCACCTTTCTCTGATCTTGCCCTCCTCATGTATGGGTTTGCCTTGACTATCATTGACATATTCAGATGGCTGGAATGGTTCATCTCTAGTTCTCATTTTTGCAATGGTTTTGTAAAACTGTCCACAAGATTTAGCACAGATTTTGGTAAGATTTTCACCCAAACATGATCCAGGATGTTTCCTTGGATTGTTTAATTTCTCTTGCAGATTGTCGCCTGGCAATTCTGTACTTGATATAATCGTCATCTGAGCGGGATCTTAGCCATTTCTTGTATTGTTCCTTTTTACATTTCACTGCTTGTTTTACGTTATCATTCCACCATGCTGTTTTTTTTTGAACGTTACTCCTGTGTATCTAATACCACAGCAGTAATAGTAGTAATTATAGAGCAATGTACTGTTCAACCCATTTGTGTTAAATTAGGGTGTAATTAGGGTGTAAAAAGCTTGCACAAATTTTTTAAATATTGGATATTTAATTTATGCTTCTCGATTCTGTTATGTAATATCCTGTACTTATTATTTGACGAAATGACAAAATACCAAATTTGAGAGTTTCACGAGGTATTTGAAGCACTGGGTGTTCCAAGGATATTGACATTTGCAGATGATGTTTTTGCATATAGGCAGGGAAGCGATAGGAAACAGACAGCACGAGAGCTTCAAGCGGCTGTTGACAAAGTGACTCACTGGTGTGCAGAGATGGGTGCTGTCATCAACTCAGAAAAGGCGGCTGTTTATGGTGCTCGCTGGATAAAAGAATGATAAAAGTTAATGTTCTAAGCCTCACAATTTAATGACAGAAACACCAAAAGAGGAAGCAAACGGAGGTACCCGGGTATCATTTTCGATGGAAGCCTTCCTTCAGGGATCATGTGGAGGCAAAGTAAAATGCAGAAAAGGACTCAATGCTCTCAAGATTTTGAAAGCAGTAGACATGGAGCAAAGAATGCTGTTCACAATGTTTCCAGCATGTGATCCTGTCAGTAATAGATTATGGACATGGAATGTTTACCACACCAAAGAGTCAGCTGATAAAACTTCAACGCATACAGAATGAAGCCATGCAGGTAATTCTGGGATGTACACGAGATACCCCAGTAGGATGTATGCGACATACACTTGCACTGCCTAATTTTGCAGATAGGCTTAAAGCTCTGCAAGCAAAGTCATATATCACAGAGTAGCTGCAAA